TTGGCTTGTTATTCGAACCATCATCTGTATTTTGAAGGAATTTATCAAGACGTTTCACACTCACCAGAATGGTCTGTAATCATACACACTAAACACAAGCTCCAGTAAAGTGCCTTTACCTGACCAGCACTGTAAGGTAAGGCCCACAAGTATACAGGTAAACTTTACTGGTGAGTAGAATTCACACATCTTTACACAATGTTCATAAACTCAATAAGATCGTGCGTCTTCTGCTTCGATACCTTATATTGTAGCAAATCACCAGATTCAAAGTCAACTTTTTCCTCCATGTGCCAAAATTCTCTCAAAAATCATTCAATTTCGAGTTCAACTTTTGTTTTATGAAAACAATAAAACAATTCAGCCAACAAAGGGACACAAATAGTTCCCATAGGTGTAAGAATTGTCTGATTGAAGATCTTATTTCCGAACTCGACGAGGATGTCCACCAGAAACTCGATCTTCTTTTATGATGGTATCGTCCTCTGTATATTTTGTCTTTGATGTGGACGTACCAAATAGTTCACGACTGAAAAAAGGAACCAGAATAATTAACTTTATGATACCTTTTCACTGAGATTATTCACGATTGATAAAAACAGAAAATAAAACTTTATTGTGGTGCTACATCACTTATATATATTAATTTAAACGTCAATTTGAAGTATTTAGCATTATGTTAATTTTTCGCTTTTATTATCATTATTTTCGCGTATCTTTTCCATTTTCTATGTAAATATATTCACATAGATACGGTAACCATGTACATATTTTTCTGATTAAATTGTTTGTAACGTAATCGCAAACACCTGATATAAAACACAGATGTAACGGTGTAGAGGATAACTGTAAAGATCGACCGAACACACATAAACTATAACAGTAGTATGTTCTCACTGGGCTGTCAGTTAGGTTTCTTCTACAGTGGAGGACTCCTGTACCTGTAGGACAAGCTCAACACGATTAATTACTCGACCTACACATGATTAGTGGCGACAAGGGACCAACAAGTGTCTTCGCTAAAACACTACATATCTGATATAGATCTCACGTTCTACATATTTATCTGCACCGGTAAGGACTCTGATTATCATATTATGCCACTTCGTTCGGAGTTTACAGCTGTACTGGACAAAGCAATGCTATTGGATATTATTATGTAACAGGTATGTGGTTTTATTCATATGTACTGAATTCATGTTTAATTACTGTTGTAAATCAGGAAAAGTATGCTTATTTTGTTTTCTTGTCTAAATTGATTAAGTGGTTTCTTTATTGCAAGACTTTGGGTGTAGGTAACTAAGACCAACGATAACACACGTAAATTATCAATGTTGAATTAATCCACTTCACACGAGTAATTAATGTATTAGATTTCTCATGTGTTTAACGTATTAATTAATTTAGAATGTTTTATATTGGGAATCAAATATACTGAAAAATGTTATATTAATATCATGTGCTCTATGCATTTTTTGTTTATTAGTTCCTATACCATATTGTATATCAGTCGAAGAAATGTCCGCTGAAGGCTACTTAGTATATCATATACCAGTAGAAGAAAAAAAAAACACGACACATTCACTGCCAAACGCTGTATAACTGACATAAATGTATCTAAACGACATGAAGATGTGTAAGTGAATACAAATATGGCTCAGTAATGTTCGTTATAGTGGGCTGGCTAGTTGTATTTCCTGTTGTGTGATACAGACCTGGTTTTTTTAGGTCTTTTTTTTACAATGTTTACTACGTACGACAGCAAAGCGTGTGCCTAGGCAGAGCATGTCGCCCCAGGACACACCAAAGAACAAGGCTAGAGGGTTACACACAAACGACATAGTGAATAGAATATTTCAACACATTTCTCATGAAACATTTGTTTCATCCTTCAATGATTAATGCTAAGAAGTGTGGAAATCTGGAAAGGAAAGGTAGCGACCGAAACTAGCGTTAAAGTTTACTGAGGTACTAGATTGTTCAACAGGTTTGGTTAACTTTCAATAATGTCTGGAAAATATGAAAAGTGACTTCTGTTGTTTATATATAATTCTATCACGTGTCGATGATGACAGGGAATCGAAATACAATCGTTCTTATGTTAAGATAATGATAGGCAGATGCACTTACCTCTAATTTAACAAATTCAAATATGAATGTTGGATATTTTAAGAGAGCGTCAAGTATATGTGTATATGGATTCAAAAAGACATGTGGGATATATCTGCAGGCCTAAAGGTCCTCCTGCATACTTCAATATCAACTGTCTCAACAGATTGCACAATAGCTGCACAGTTATACAAATCTAGAGTTCGACAGACTGACACGTGATAAATCTTTCAGCATTCGTTTGTGACCTCTTCAGCACATCTTTCGACTTTGCATTTTCTTCTTTGTGGTTACAAGTATTGAAAACAAATGATTAAAAAATAGAATTTTAATCAAATTTAATCAGAGTTTTAAAGGAAATGTTGCATTGTTTTATTTGTAGGTTCAAAACAATATGATATTTGCTACATAGAAGTATATCATGTAAGAGATATATAAATGATCTCTTATTGTCATATATATAAACTTTAAATGGCATTTTAATTAATACAATGATAATTAACGATAAATGATGGATTTTTTCCATTATCTAATAAAATGCGGTTTTCAGGTGATCAACATTTGGTTGTATTTGCTTCAGTTGTTGGAGACATCAATTTGAAGAAGAAAACAAGATATAACAGAAAATTGCAAACATCTTTTTTAAAGTAGACATTGGTACTGGTTGTATCTGTCTGATTATTCTTGATTTTGTGGATGAGTGAAATCTTTGGGGACTCTACAACATAGCTGATAATTAAGGTTAAGCTGATAATACAAACCTCTAACACCAGTGTATTGTATATGTATGTTAATTGTCAACTGACACCAGACATTTATGAGTTTTACTTAAGTACGTTACACATTGTTGAAAGGTTACAGTGACAACTTCAGAGATACAGTTTAATGAGTTCATTCTTGGAGATGTTTGCCTTTAAATAAATATTTCAGTAGTTTTCTGATTTTTGCGGATTTGTTTCTGTCGCTTATTTACAACCTGTGCGGTCTCAACAGTGATATATAATGTTCAATACATTTATTGTTGGAACTCTTTGATGTGGAATTTTATGATAAAAGCAGTCTATATATCAGTGAGCGTTACATTTAGACTAAGATCGGTACACTGCTGTCTTACAGACAGTTCCAGTCGGATGATGGGACCTTTGTTATGCCGAGTAAAATGTACAGATAATTGCATCCTGAAGGCTTGTTGAACGTGTGAGCAAAAATGATGTTTGGAGTAAAAATACAAAACATGGATTGTCTGGAGTAATATAAAGCCTTAATTGTCTGTATTAGGCCTTGAGTAATATAAAGCATGAATTGTCAGTACTAGACCTTGTGTAATATAAAGCTTTAATTGTCAGTACTAGACCTTGTGTAATATAAAGCATGGATTGCCAGTACTAGACCTTGTGTAATATAAAGCATGAATTGCCAGTACTAGACCTTGTGTAATATAAAGTATGAATTGTCAGTACTAGGCCTTGTGCAATATAAAGCATGAATTGTCTGTACTAGACCTTGTGTAATATAAAGTATGAATTGTCTGTACTAGGCCTTGTGTAATATAAAGCATGGATTGTCTGTAATAGACCTTGTGTAATATAAAGTATGAATTGTCTGTACTAGACCTTGTGTAATATAAAGCATGAATTGTCAGTACTAAGCATTGTGTAATATATATAGCCTTAATTGTCCGTATTAGGCCTTGTGTAATATAAAGTATGAATTGTCAGTACTAGGCCTTGTGTAATATAAAGTATGAATTGTCAGTACTAGACCTTGTGTAATATAAAGTATGAATTGTCAGTACTAGACCTTGTGTAATATAAAGCAAGAATTGTCAGTACTAGGCCTTGACTAATATTAAGCCTTAATTGTCAGTACTAAGCCTTGTGTAACATAAAGTATTTATGTATGTATGTATGTATGTATGTATGTATGTATGTATGTATGTATGTATGTATGTATGTATGTATGTATGTATGTATGTATGTATTTATGTATGTATGTATTTCATTTGCAATTATGAGCCATGTGGCTCACATCTGATAATCAGTACACATTCTGGACCCTATTGACCTGTCATCCTCGATACTACATGAGTTACGAACTCTTTCACTCTCTACAATCCCTGAATATGTCATAGCAAACCTGAAGGTTTCATGTGCATCACCATGTGGATAAGACCAGTTTGATCATCAAATGAATCACGAGGTCGCACAGCGGTATGTTGCATTGGCTTTGAAGTTGAATGTCTCTCCTTTGTAATATTCAAAGGAGCGTATCAGTCTGTGATTACTACGTCCATTTCTCGTGGGACCCTCTATAGATCAATCAAATTACTCTGCGTGTGCCTTCAAATTTTGTCATGACAAGTTCCAGAGGTGCAGAATGCGAAAGTAATCGTAACCCCTGGATTATAGAGGATGTTGATAAGTGTGATGGTGGTGGTTACATGTTACCTTTTATAAAGTGATGTATGTGTTTTGATTTTAACATAACATCACAACGTACAGTGTTCATAGCTGGTCAGACCTTAAAGGAACAATTATGAAATTTGAAATTTGAAGCTTATTTCTGTTTTTCATATGAGTTAATAACCCTTTCAATCTTTTTTTATCTCATTTATTTCTTTAGATAGTGTATTTTAAAAGTTTTGCTACATCCAATTTCTTTGTACATGGTATATTAGTTATCTAAAAACAAATCGTACTTTAACAGTGAATCCTCTCGTTTGGTAAAAAAAATTACAGCGAATCTTTTCTTCGTTTTATTTTAGGTATGTCTTCATGGACGAAAGTTCTTCGATGGATTGTCTGTGAAACTGAGTAGTAAAGTTATGGTTGACAGGAAACCAACATACCCAGAGATATTCATTTTCAATTACCATTATTATCATCAAAACCATGAAAGCGGGATATATCAAGGAAATCCAGGTGTTTTTATACATGTGCATAGTTGGAAGCTTTGTGTCATCCCTTGATTCTGAAAGATGTGACGTTCCAGTCTGTATGAATAAGACGAGTCTCTTGCCATCCATTAATATGTTTAGTCTCCATGGCAACTATGTGCCTTTCAAAGGGATGGCGTACTTACTTTCGCCACCACAAGGTATGCACTGCTATATAAATCTCACCACCATTTTACACAACTACAATTTCACCCACGATCCAGCTGTAGCTGTATTGTCTCTCCATTGTCAGCGACCGTACGTCATACATATGAGTGGGTATACTGGGGATTCCCTCAGCCATATCTGGTACTACTTCCAAATGCAAGGATGCAGAACAACCTACATGAGTTTGAACCGCTTATCTACTGTTGTCGACCTGAAAACCATCACCCTGCCTGGTAGGGCTTACATACACACCAATGCTACAGACTGTCTTTCACCAAACCAATCCATTCCGAAATGTCACAGCATTTATAACTTACATTCTATATGGATAACTCATTCTTATCGCTACCCAGAACAGGACCTCGATGACTTGTTTCATTGCGCTGATACGTTCCCTAATATGACAGAACTAACTATAACCAATATGTCTCTAACGGAACTGCCACCGTCTGTTATAAGAAAGATTCCTAACGTTCAATCCTTAGAAATATCTAATTGTCAACTCACACTTCCACCCAAAGACTTTCCATGGACAGACCAATCAGTTAGGTTAAAGGGTAATCTCACCATGGAAGACTATTTCTTGGAACATTATGGAAAACCGTTTAACATAGAAATGGATCCCAATCTGTATAGAAGAATTCTGAATCTCAATTTTAATCGAATAACAAATCTATCAAATGTCTCGTTTAGAGGCTATCTCCAAATGATACAATTGTCGGGAAATGGGCTGGTTGAAATCGGATCTTCAACATTTTACCATCTCGTTGGTATTCAGCATATTGACTTGTCTATAAACAAGCTGCAGTCGTTACCGGAAGTTCTTTTCCAAGGTCTAAGCAGTCTTCGTCATATTGATTTAGGTAGCAATGCGATAAAGTCATTACCTGCTCTAGTTTTCAAAGACGTAACAAACGTTGTATATCTAAACCTTGCTAACAATTCCCTGGTTCATCTACCTTCTGGTGTTTTTTCAACATTATCACAATTGAAAGAAATCCATTTAGAGTATAACCAATTGGTGACAATAGAAGCCAGATCGTTTCTCATGACTTCTATTACCCTAACCAAGTTGTATTTTGATAGTAACCCACTCAAGGTCATTCCTGACATCGTGTTCTACCTGCGCTACCTCAGTACCGCTTTTCTCAGGAATACAAACATATCTTTTAACAACTTGACAGAGATCACGTCACGTGTCAACTGGCCTCGCATGACTGATGCCGTTATGGACTCCACCAGTAGTGCCAATCTAGACCTTAATAAACCAGCTGTCACATTAAGAAAGGTGGACCTTACCGGAAGTGCAATAACAACAGTATGGATGACACAAAATTTAACACAATTTCAGCACACATTTCTTCTTCTTGTTTTTCGCCATTTTCATTTCATTTTAGAAGAAAATAGTGTAACTTGTGATTGTAATATCGGCACATTCTCAAAGTGGATTCATAAGCAAAAGCAAGATGGACTTTTCACTGGAAAAGAATATTTCTTCAAAGAATGGTTTTGCAAATACCCAGTTGAACTCAGGGGCAGACTACTCCTTGATGTAAAACCAGAAGAGACTTACTGTGCTATTAACGTGTCTAACTGCCCAGAAGAATGTTGGTGCTACAAGCGATCTGTGTCGAACGTAATCATTGTGGACTGTCGAGGCCGAAGACTGGAGACATTACCGACTGTTTTGCCAGACGGTCGTCTCGACTTATGGTTCCACCAGAACAACATTACTGTGCTAAAACACAAGACTTATCTGTCTAGAGTAAGACAGCTCGTCCTCAGTCACAATAACCTAGAACTCATCGAAAGCTCGGCAATATCTTCTCTCACCAATGCAATGCTACTTCACCTCGATTCAAATCTCTTAGCGACACTGCCAGTTCAATTTCGGGACATACAAGCATCATCGATATTGCTTAAGAACAATCCTTTTCGGTGTGATTGCAATACTCTATGGATGAAGTCATGGATATTAAAACACCAAAGTCGTATTCATGACTGGACAAATATTGCATGTAACAGCCATAACGACGACGGAGAGCAGTTTGTAGGTCTCTCCGACAACGAATTTGTTTGTGTGGAGGATTTTGACTCCATGAAGCACGTCATCACTCCAGCTGTGTCTAGTTCACTCTCTCTGGCAGTATTTTTGATAGCACTGGGGTTACTCTATATCTATCGCCTGGAAATGAAAGTCCTCCTGTATATTTACTGTGGTATCCATCCATTCGACAAAGACAAGAAAGGAGGAAAAGAGATAATAGATGCAGCTGTAATACACGCTGCGGGAATTACAGACTGGGTGATGAAAAACATTGTCACTTATCTCGAGGAGGACGCACAACATTATATTATCTGTGAGATAAACAGGGATTTTGTTGCGGGGTTTTCTTATCAGGAGAATATAGTAAGTATAGTACGGAAAAGCAAACGGATGATTTTAGTCCTCTCGGACGAGATGACGGACACACACGACATGTTTAAAGTTGCATGGAGAGAGGCACAATTGAAAATCAAAGAAAAAAGAACGAATTATGTTATTGTAATAGGCCACAACAGGTCTCGAAAGAAGCTTACTAACAAAGACCTTAAACGCTACTTGAAAAGAGGAAGGTTTGTGCATACAGGTGAAAGTCTCTTTCACGAGAAAATATTATATTCAATGCCTAATTATAAACACACTGCTGACAACGGTGTAGTTCGGGGCCTTCCTGACATTCGAAAATGCATACAGAATACATATGATGCGGATGACAAAGAAGAAATTGAATTCGATGCATTCCTTGCCTACGGCGAAACTGATAGAAACTTTGCTGTCAACGACCTTAGAATAGACTTGGAGAAAAATGGATATACTTTAATTATACCAGATCGTGACTTTCCCCCAGGAGCATCAAAGGAGGAAAATGTGCTCCTGGCTGTATCAAGTTGTCACCACACGCTTTTCATCGTGTCAGGGGAACATCTAGAGGACGAATGGTCTCTATTCACCTTCCGATCAGCCAGCGAGAAATCCTTACGCAACAAGAGTAATCATCTTATCCTCTTGTCCGCACAAAAAGAGGATATAAACATTGTGGATGAAGAAGTCCGATATCATCTAAAGACACAAGTAAGTCTTGATGTACATAGTCCCTGGTTCTGGGATAGACTCCATAAGGCTTTGCCACCAAAGGCTAATCGTCAAGGTCAAGGTCAGCAAGGTGTCGTAGACGACAAGGAAAACATTACAGATATAGAAAGAATAAAAATGCTGAAAGAAGAAGAAAATGAAGAAAAGTTGAAAGAAATCGAAAGAATAAAAATGTTCAAGGAAGACAAGAATGAGGACAACGAAAAGGAAAAATACGAGGAAAGAATGAAAAATGGGAATTCATTTCTTCTGCATGAAAAAGATTTATTCGACAATGACGTGGACATCAAACAAATCGATGGCAATGAGAGTATTTTGTTCAAAGCAAAAATGAAAGAAGCTGAAATAGAAAATGAAGCAGAAAAAGATAACGAAAGCCAAAAAGAAATGGAAATTACTTTTGTATAGAAGGTTTGGCGTTACAGGAACCCATTTATTCAAAGTCTCGTTCTGTTAAGAACCAATACCGAATTCCTTCAGATCTTAAATTCGTGCAGAAAATTCCTCGCTGTAAGTGTTTATAACGACGTAGAAAACCTATACATAGATACTTCGTAGCGTGTGTGTGTAAAGGTTTCGCTGTATGTGTCAAGAATGAGATGATAAAGAAAAAGTAAAGGTTTCACAGCATGTGTCAAGAATGAGATATTAAAGAAAAAGGAAATGTTTCGTAGTATGTGTCAGGAATAAGATAATAAAGAAAAATGTAAAAGTTTCACAGTATGTGTCAAGATTGAGATAATAAAGAAAAAGTAAAGGTTTCGCAGTAAGTGTCAAGAATGAGGTGATAAAGAAAAATGTAAATGTTTCGCAGTATGTGTCGAGGATAAAATTATATAGAATTTTTTCAGAGAAAATATTAAGGATAAGAATTTCAATTTTCAATAACGTAGAACAAAGTTGGACAATGTTAGTTTGATGTGTACAGTATTTAATGACGTAGAACAAAGTTGGACAATGTTTGCTTTATGTGTACAGTATGTAATGACGTAGAACAAAGTTGGACAATGTTTGCTTTACGTGTACAGTATCTAATGACGTAGAACAAAGTTGGACAATGTTTGCTTTATGTGTACAATATTTAATGACGTAGAACAAAGTTGGACAATGTTTGCTTTATGTGTACAGTATCTAATGACGAAGAACAAAGTTGGACAATGCTTAATTTATGTGTACAGTATGTAATGACGTAGAACAAAGTTGGACAATGTTTGCGTTATGTGTACAGTATCTAATGACGTAGAACAAAGTTGGACAATGTTTGCTTTATGTGTACAGTATGTAATGACGTAGAACAAAGTTGGACAATGTTTGCTTTATGTGTACAGTATGTAATGACGTAGAACAAAGTTGGAGAATTGACGAGAAACTTTAAATGAATTAACAGTCCCAGTTAAATAGATCTAATAACATTCATGTTAAGATTATTAAAATAAGTATACTGTATACAGCTCAAGTGTTTTATCCTCAGGTATTCCTTTTTGCAGAAATGGAAAGACAAAAATTAGACAAAAAAAAAAAAAACGAAAAAAAAAAGACTACACAAAAAAAATGCACGTGTAATAAATATGTAATATTGAGAATCATGTGACAGGAACGTACAAGTAGAGTGTGTATATCTGACATTAAAAAAGCGACACACGCTGCCTAGTTATATATCCCTGTATTTTATTGTCAAAAATTGTACTAGCTTTTTATGTGTTGTTTTATGGTAGTTAAATTGTCAATTCTGTTTCAGGGAAATCTAAATGATTAGGTACAGTATAATTTATATATAATGTTTCCTCTTCTGCATTATTTATATGCATATATTATGTCTTATCATCATAAAAACAGGTCACACTACTTGACATTTCATTGGACCAAAGATGACGACTTGATATTTTTATGTAGTGATATAGAATTCAGATGTGTCGAGTGTCCGCCTTTCTATAAACATTGGCAGTTTATGGATAATTGACAGATTGGGTATCTCTTAATTTCAAAGTTTTAACTATCGATTAATCAATCAGTTTCAACTCAGAACTAGATTTAATGTTAATATTATTATAAATGTTATACAAAGAAAATAGCAATGTAATTCGGATTTGAAATGGTACAATATTAAAAATGCCGTCTCATGGTCGGAATATCTGTGCAAATTAATTGAGATCTAGAAAGGAAATTGGAATTTTAAACTTCAGTCTCGATCACTATATGTAAAATGTATACACAAGTTATGCTTTATCACGTGTGTTCTGCATTACCATTATCTATTATCATGAATGACAATAAAATTTTAAGTTTGGAATTTGATTCTTGTGATTTCATTGGCCTCAAACTTGTCATAACTACATGTGTATTAATGTGTAACACGAAGCCTTAGGGATTCCTCGCAATTACCGACCTTTTTAAATAATAAGTAATTTATAAAGAAAACTTATCCTTGACATCAAACACAACTAACACTGTGGGGTTGGGGTTATCGTGATTTAAATCGCTTTTGCTGTACCACTGTATGATGGGGTATGTCTCGAGGATGTCTGATTTTCTCTTGTCATAGAGGTTTATCTCGCTTCAGCTGAGATTCCAGGCGCTATTGACAGGTAATACACAAGTTACGGAAGAGGTTTTTTTTCGATGATTTATTTATCCCGCCATTGCCTTCCCGTGTCCATGTTTACTTAACTTTGGGCATCTAGATGTCATTGACAAACTTGTCACCTGTAACACAAAGCATCCCTCTGTTCGGTTATCTTGACCTGTTTAACTAACAAACATGTAGCGTGTAGGGCGACATGGGTCAGCTGACTACTACGAGACAAAATGGCGCTGAAAGAGTCAGCTTTGGTATAAATCTTGTCAAGGAAGGAGAAAAAACCTCGGTATATACATACATACATACATGTGCCATAAACATCTTCATTAAGTGTGTTGTTTAACAGCCTTTAAATGTCTACTACTCGGTAACTTTTTTTAAAAATTAGATAAGCAGAATAAATCATTATTTTTCAATGTTAAATAAGTGATCGTTATAATTCTTCTTTTACCGAGAATATCATGAAGTTGAAGGACCTGGTTTGTATCAGTACCATAAGAAAGCTCACAAGTCTCCAAACGATACAAAACTAAACAAAAATATATATTATATATTGATTCTATGCTAAAACGATTCAACTATTGGTTATTGCTTACTCACCCCCCACCCCCTCTCACCAGCAACCCATACCCACTCCCTTGTTGAAATTTAAGAGCGGTGTTATTCAAAACGTGTGTGTTTTTTGTACTTTTAGGGGGGGAAATATACATAACTAAAAAGTGTATTTCCTCAACCTGTCACGTTTCGACAAATCGTTGTAATTATTACAATAACACATCAATACTGGATGAAATATGCCGATTGCAATTAAATAATCACTAATATTTCACAGTGTCAAAATCTGCCATCAGAGACTAAATAATGTATTCACTGACGTGATTAATCAATACGATATACAGGATAAGACGATAGCCTTCATTTCGGAAATCCCATTTGTCACCAATTCTTTTTTTTAGATATTCCATTTCTTTATTACACATTAAATCTAACTCTAAAGAAAGGTATTTTCTAGATTTTTTATGATAACCAATAGGATTTTACATATCCGGAAAACACAATCAGTTAATTAACGTTTTACGTGTTAGATTTTAATCAATGTATTCACACTTTCTCCGGGCCACGAACTGACATCTACGGTACATTTAAATTACATTTTTTTAATATACGCCCCATTAGTCAGCAAAATCAAGAAAAGTTTTACATCATGGTGGATACAATATATAGAGAAAGAGAATGTACAATATATCATACAGTTGTTTTATTTTATCTTTTCTTCATCGATTAGCGTCGTGTATATATTTACTCAGAGAACATATTTTTTAAAAACATTTTCTACTCTAAATCAATATAAATACAAATGGATTTTTCTAAAAGTAATTTTATGTACTTTATCTTGATTCATGGATAAAATCGTATTTATTCTTGATGAATTGTCTCGTAGCGTGCATATTACAGAATCGTCTAGAACTTTGGGTATTATTGTATCGACCAACTCCGACTGATAAACACTATAAAGATATACGTATTTCACTGATACAAATTCTAGAATTTTTTAAGGAATATATTTCGCTTATTGAAATGGTAAAGTATCATTATAGATAAGGTGTTTATAAATGTGACATTTGGAGGATATTTCTATTAAATGTTGTAGGAATTTAAACCAATACTTAATTATTCTAGATTTCCTGTAATGACCTAGTTCACAATATACAATATGTTTTGTGGAAGTTTTTTTTTAATTAAAAAATAATATTTAGTTTATAATATCTTGTTTACATCTAAATATGTACATTAATCTACACAAATTAGATCATCCATGTCCTTTTCTCATTTCAATGTGCTACTCCTTTTTGGACTATGACAACTTTCGTTTTCGTTTTTCGATATTCATTGTAAGATTCCATTTTTTTCAGAATTTGAAATTATTGAGTAGATCTTGTAATCCTTGACCAGTCTCTGAAAACAAAACCATATCATCACCATCAAGCATAAGAAACAAGCTCAAGACTTGAAATTCTTAATGCTAATTACAATGTGTTATACAAAACAGGATTCAAGATCGTTGACAAACAAAGAAAAAGTATTGGGGACAGTAATTCCCTGGAAGAGACCGATCTCGATTTAGACGAAATAATTTGACACGTAGTAATCGATTAAAATTTCTGCGTTGTCCTCTTAGCCTCTGGGCACCAGATTCACATTTCCCTGGTCCCCAAGGAGTAAGATCTACTTTTTTTCAATATCCAGTCTGCTTTATTGAAAATGCTGCAAAACAAATTTGGACAAAGTCCAGTCATTCTTCCAAAATCATGACAAAATACCTTTATCATAACAGAAGAATCTTAAACCCTTCCTCCGTTTCCCCAGTGTAGTCCAAGTCCCTTAGGCTCCAAGGCCACCAATAAACAAATCTGTATCCCTTCCTCCATTTCCCCAATGTTGTCCAAGTCCCTTAGGCTCCAAGACCAACAATAAACAAATCTGTATCCCTTCCTTCATTTCCCCAATGTAGTCCATGTCCCTTAGGCTCCAAGACCAACAATAAACAAATCTGTATCCCTTCCTTCATTTCCCCAATGTAGTCCATGTCCCTTAGGCTCCAAGACCAACAATAAACAAATCTGTATCCCTTCCTCCATTTCCCCAATGTAGTCCAAGTCCCTTAGGCTCCAAGACCAACAATACACAAATCTGTACCACTTCCTCCGTTCCCCCAGTGTAGTCCAAGTCCCTTAGGCTCCAAGACCAACAATACACAAATCTGTATCCCTTCCTTCATTTCCCCAATGTTGTCCAAGTCCCTTAGGCTCCAAGACCACCAATAAACAAATCTGTACCACTTCCTCCAATAATACCATTGTCCCAACAGAAGGATTTTAGGCTAATCTTAAATTAGCTCTATAGGGACCATCTTCTTGGTGTGGGGATTGGGGTAGGGGTGGGGGTAGGGTTGACCTACCAGGCCAGGTGAGCTAAACAAGATCCCCTGGGACTTTGGTACCCTCTTATTTGCCATTGATCATATGCTGTATTGATAGGTTCATTATTCATGGAAACAACAAGCATGGACAAAGGAATTATAGAAAACAACTTTCATTTCTAAAATACAAGATGGCCACCTGTCAAACATTTTGTTTTACCAATCAGTCTCCAAGTATTCAAAACCAAGGGGAACTTTTATATGAAATTTGTGAAAGATCCATCCAACACTGGAAATAGTGATAACAAGATTTGATTCGAGACTGATTATTGGCCATCCAAAAGATGTGGGGTAATTGAAAGAGCCTATAATTTGATGGTAAACTTTTCAACTTATCTTAATGGATGGAAATGAAAAGACCAAAAGTGTTCTGACATTTTCTTCAATTTTTTCTTTATTTCTATACATCTAAGCATACCTGACCAATATTAAAGAAAAAATGGAATGAGCAAGGTCTTTTCCCCCCAGATATGCTGTACACTTTTGATAAATCTGCAATGATCTTATACAACATATTAATGTGGATATAAGGTTTAATTTACACTGGTGATATTCATCTTTATGTACACCTGATGTTATTTGGAAATTTTGGTTTGATGCAAGATACTGCCCAGATACTTTCATATTAACTAGTGAAAATGAAACTTGTGGTATTCAAACTCGCATATCAAAAAATGTGTGTACATATCTGTAAATGTGTGTACATATCTGTAAATGCGTGTACAAATTATTTTGAGTCATGCAGTAATTCTTAAAAATTTAGTAATCTGTGATGGTATAAATAATCTTGCTCATTCCTTTTAAATCATTCCAGAATGTCAAACCAAGGAAAAATAATACAAAAAGTTCACCGTTATTTTATCCTGCCTTGGCAAAATAAAATTGCCAAGTAATATAAAAAATGACCGATGTCAGTAACAGATAAAATGATAGCTCTGTGTAGGTGCTTAACTGCTTGTCACCAATACTTAACATTTACCCTGGTTGTGGCTAGTTCACACAAAGTGAACTTGGCTGAACTGTACTTTCAGCAGTAAACTGTGAAGCATATATTTACATTAACATTCGCATATAAAGATTCATCAGATACATTTTCTGATATTGTAGTTTACTAAAATAAACTGTCTGTTGGGGGTTTAAATTTGTGCTCTTTCTTTATGTCCAAACCCAAATATAACACACTTAAAACCCCACAAGAATATTACCTCCAATACAGTATTTAGTCCTTGTGAAAAAAAAAAAATCAAACCTCCTGACAAATCCTTTATTTTTCAATCAAACTTTGCACATACTAATTTTGAATTCCAAATGGTAGCCTTGGTTTGTTTTGTATTCTCAAATAATTGTTTACTATACTCCTGCTAAATCATGAATATTAAATCAAAATAAAACTTTTAGGTCTGTACCTAACTTCAAATCTTTAGTGACTTAAAGCAAATGTGAATACAGAAGTGAATCCTTCATTTTTTGTTACTACACTTAGGAGAGTAAGTCTACAGCTCATATAACAATAATATTTTGAATACATATTTCAAATACGTTTTTGTACATTACACCTTTGTAAAATCCCATTTTCTTCAATATTAGAATGGATATTTTCTCGCAACTGTTACTTCTTGGCAATTTAACTTGAGGTTAAAATATCCTCGGAAAAGCCATGATTTGAAAACGGTATATGATAACAAATATAGATTTCCAGAATTAGATGATCTATTTCTTGCGACCTCCTCTTTCCTTCAGCTGAAGTTGAACTGTCGCTCCTTTCATGAAATTGTAGTAAGCTAGAGAGTTGGAGTCTTTCATGAAAATTCCCTGTGTATAAAGAGTCATCATATTAGTGGGATGTAATAAAAGATATCTTTAACCTTTCAAAAAAAATTATGCAATTTCAATTGGAATACTTAGAGATATTTGGATTTTTCAACCCATGCATGATGTACAAATATAAAACACAGTAAAATATATACAGTGAGAAATTCAGATATATAACATAATTAATAGCCAGCCAACATTTGTATGATATAATCCAGAATTCAACTAAACTTGTAAAAGCAAAGATGGGTGAAACAAATGTATCCCATATTCCTACATAGCCGTCAATGTACAATAGGTGAATTTATGTACATGTGTAAGAGCTTCACACAAGACTACAGATTACCATCCCTGTGCTTTACAGTTTACAGCTACTAATACAGGTCTATTTACAGATTTCCACAACCATGATTTTTATAAAAGTAATTACCTCGTATTGGAGCTTCTGTTTTCCAGCTGGAAGTCCAAGACTCTCATTCAGCTTAGCTTTCATTACAGAGATCTGAAAACAAATCATTGTAACAGTGTGAAGGAATTTCAGCTGTATCAGTAAAACCTTTGAGGTGTGAAGAAATTTCAGGTGTAGCAGTAAAACCTTTGAGGTGTGAAGAAATTTCAGGTGTAGCAGTAAAACCTTTGAGGTGTGAAGAAATTTCAGGTGTAGCAGTAAAACCTTTGAGGTGTGAAGGAATTTCAGGTGTAGCAGTAAAACCTTTGAGGTGTGAAGGAATTTCAGGTGTAGCAGTAAAAACCTTTGAGGTGTGAAGGAATTTCAGGTGTAGCAGTAAAAACCTAGAGGCAGTGAACGTAAATGAGAGCATCTGAACATTTAAATGAAACAAAAGTCTTAGGAAAAGGTGACAAAAAGTAGACAGCCCGTTAGAGTATGTAGAATTCTAACATCACTTCAATAAGGTAATCAACTTACAGACTTCTTTAATCTTATAACTAATTGATCGTAAACAAATAAATTGTAAATATGGTTGGAGAGGTAGGAAGCCTATTAATGATCATGCTATCCTTCTCATCAATATACTTTAACTTGCATCTAAAATTTACCTCCTATTTATATTATTCCTTGATCCAGATTTCTATCCAATTTATATATTTCTGAAGATTTCCCTTCACCAACATATTTCTGTAGTCATGATTGACATCATATACGTCAATACGTTACTGTAGTGATTGTAGTCCCTCTGTCTCTTCCTATACATTTCTGTAACCTAGAATTCCCTCTCATCGATATACGTCATTAAGTAACTGTAGTGACTGTAGTCCCTCTGTCTCTTCCTATACATTTCTGTAACCTAGAATTCCCTCTCATCGATATACGTCATTAAGTTACTGTAGTGACTGTAGTCCCTCTCTGTCTCTTCCCATACATTTCTGTAACCTAGAATTCCCTCTCATCGATATACGTCATTAAGTTACTGTAGTGACTGTAGTCCCTCTCTGTCTCTTCCCATACATTTCTGTAACCTAGAATTCCCTCTCATCGATATACGTCATTAAGTTACTGTAGTGACTGTAGTCCCTCTCTGTCTCTTCCCATACATTTCTGTAACCTAGAATTCCCTCTCATCGATATACGTCATTAAGTTACTGTAGTGACTGTAGTCCCTCTCTGTCTCTTCCCATACATTTCTGTAACCTAGAATTCCCTCTCATCGATATACGTCATTAAGTTACTGTAGTGACTGTAGTCCCTCTCTGTCTCTTCCTATACATCTCTGTAACCTAGAATTCCCTCTCATCGATATACGTCATTAAGTTACTGTAGTGACTGTAGTCCCTCTCTGTCTCTTCCTATACATCTCTGTAACCTAGAATTCCCTCCCATCAATATACGTCATTAAGTTACTGTAGTGACTGTAGTCCCTCTGTCTCTTCCTATACATTTCTGTAACCTAGAATTCCCTCTCATCGATATACGTCATTATGTTACTGTAGTGACTGTAGTCCCTCTCTGTCTCTTCCTATACATTTCTGTAACCTAGAATTCCCTCTCATCAATATACGTCATTAAGTTACTGTAGTGACTGTAGTCCCTCTCTGTCTCTTCCTATACATTTCTGTAACCTAGAATTCCCTCCCATCAATATACGTCATTAAGTTACTGTAGTGACTGTAGTCCCTCTGTCTCTTCCTATACATTTCTGTAACCTAGAATTCCCTCTCATCGATATACGTCATTATGTTACTGTAGTGACTGTAGTCCCTCTCTGTCTCTTCCTATACATCTCTGTAACCTAGAATTCCCTCTCATCAATATACGTCATTAAGTTACTGTAGTGACTGTAGTCCCTCTGTCTCTTCCTATACATTTCTGTAACCTAGAATTCCCTCCCATCAATATACGTCATTAAGTTACTGTAGTGACTGTAGTCCCTCTGTCTCTTCCTATACATTTCTGTAACCTAGAATTCCCTCTCATCGATATACGTCATTAAGTTACTGTAGTGACTGTAGTCCCTCTGTCTCTTCCTATACATTTCTGTAACCTAGAATTCCCTCTCATCGATATACGTCATTAAGTAACTGTAGTGACTGTAGTCCCTCTGTCTCTTCCCATACATTTCTGTAACCTAGAATTCCCTCTCATCGATATACGTCATTAAGTAACTGTAGTGACTGTAGTCCCTCTGTCTCTTCCTATACATTTCTGTAACCTAGAATTCCCTCCCATCAATATACGTCATTAAGTTACTGTAGTGACTGTAGTCCCTCTGTCTCTTCCCATACATTTCTATAACCTAGAATTCCCTCCCATCAATATACGTCATTAAGTTACTGTAGTGACTGTAGTCCCTCTGTCTCTTCCCATACATTTCTGTAACCTAGAATTCCCTCTCATCGATATACGTCATTAAGTAACTGTAGTGACTGTAGTCCCTCTGTCTCTTCCTATACATTTCTGTAACCTAGAATTCCCTCCCATCAATATACGTCATTAAGTTACTGTAGTGACTGTAGTCCCTCTCTGTCTCTTCCTATACATTTCTGTAACCTAGAATTCCCTCTCATCAATATACGTCATTAAGTTACTGTAGTGACTGTAGTCCCTCTCTGTCTCTTCCTATACATTTCTGTAACCTAGAATTCCCTCCCATCAATATACGTCATTAAGTTACTGTAGTGACTGTAGTCCCTCTCTGTCTCTTCCCATACATCTCTGTAACCTAGAATTCCCTCTCATCAATATACGTCATTAAGTAACTGTAGTGACTGTAGTCCCTCTCTGTCTCTTCCCATACATCTCTGTAACCTAGAATTCCCTCTCATCGATATACGTCATTAAGTTACTGTAGTGACTGTAGTCCCTCTCTGTCTCTTCCTATACATCTCTGTAACCTAGAATTCCCTCTCATCGATATACGTCATTATGTTACTGTAGTGACTGTAGTCCCTCTCTGTCTCTTCCTATACATCTCTGTAACCTAGAATTCCCTCCCATCAATATACGTCATTAAGTAACTGTAGTGACTGTAGTCCCTCTCTGTCTCTTCCTATACATCTCTGTAACCTAGAATTCCCTCTCATCGATATACGTCATTAAGTTACTGTAGTGACTGTAGTCCCTCTCTGTCTCTTCCTACACATCTCTGTAACTTAGAATTCCCTCTCATCGATATACGTCATTAAGTTACTGTAGTGACTGTAGTCCCTCTCTGTCTCTTCCTATACATTTCTGTAACCTAGAATTCCCTCTCATCGATATACGTCATTATGTTACTGTAGTGACTGTAGTCCCTCTCTGTCTCTTCCTATACATTTCTGTAACCTAGAATTCCCTCTCATCGATATACGTCATTATGTTACTGTAGTGACTGTAGTCCCTCTCTGTCTCTTCCTATACATTTCTGTAACCTAGAATTCCCTCTCATCGATATACGTCATTAAGTTACTGTAGTGACTGTAGTCCCTCTCTGTCTCTTCCTATACATTTCTGTAACCTAGAATTCCCTCTCATCGATATACGTCATTAAGTTACTGTAGTGACTGTAGTCCTTCTTTGTCTCTTCCTATACATTTCTGTAACCTAGAATTCCCTCTCATCGATATACGTCATTAAGTTACTGTAGTGACTGTAGTCCCTCTGTCTCTTCCTATACATCTCTGTAACCTAGAATTCCCTCCCATCAATATACATCATTAAGTTACTGTAGTGACTGTAGTCCCTCTCTGTCTCTTCCTATACATTTCTGTAACCTAGAATTCCCTCTCATCGATATACGTCATTAAGTTACTGTAGTGACTGTAGTCCCTCTCTGTCTCTTCCTATACATTTCTGTAACCTAGAATTCCCTCTCATCGATATACGTCATTAAGTTACTGTAGTGACTGTAGTCCCTCTCTGTCTCTTCCTATACATTTCTGTAACCTAGAATTCCCTCTCATCAATATACGTCATTAAGTTACTGTAGTGACTGTAGTCCCTCTGTCTCTTCCTATACATCTCTGTAACCTAGAATTCCCTCTCATCGATGTAAACATATCATTTAGATTTCCTTCCCTTCCCTAACTCTATAGAGTCCAGATTACTCAAACATCTACACTGCCTGTCTCTTCAGCACTATGTGTGAGTTTGACTACTATACATACCGTGTCTGTAAGAGGAAGAGTAAAGGACAGTGTCTGACCATTCAGCTTCCATTCTGCCTTTTCTGTAACCTTGGGGATGACCACTTTGAAGGTAACCGGTCCCTAAAGTACACAAAAAGACAACGATGGTTATGAAAGAAATTAGAAAGCATTATCAAAATATTTCAAATACTTTCAGAAGCTATAAAACAAGCAGCCATGGATGACACTTTAACCATGAACATGTTCTAATCTGTGATATTTTGTCAGGAACATTATTCATAAAATACATAAAATCTCTAATACAAATTTGATGTTCTGCAGTATATATCAATATCTAATTCTCTAAAAGAAGAACATATTTCACACATACTTCCTGACCAAAACTTAAGTTTGATACCATATAAAAATGCCAATAAAACACATTTAATAATCAAATCATGCCAACAGTTTAACAAATAATAGTTTACCTTGTTTCTTTTGAGGAATTCTCCTTCAGGAACAAGCTGGTCCTCTGTTTTTTGTTTCTTTGCCATTGGTTCATCCTCCATTGAGGGCGGCGGGGGATGGTGACTCTTGTGAGGTGGACCTGGGGGTCTGTTGCCCATCAGGGAAGGTGGATAATTTGGGGGATGGGGAGGGCCATGAGGCATCATATGTTGTGGCATGTGCATTTGAGGATGGATTCCTTTATAGAAAAAAATGAAATAGTAAAATGGTAACATCAGAGTCTTGAACACTTCAATGCATCAAAACCTATTTACATTATAGGATAATTACATCTACACAATCTATAATTGTATTTTTTCTTAAGAACAAGAGATCCGAAAGGGATCCTGGTGTCCACCATCGTTTGATCTTTATTTGCTCTTTGAGTTTTGGGTCTTCTCCCTCATTTCTCTTCTCTGTTTTTCCTCTTAATTATGAGACAACTGAACATTCGTTTGCAGAAATAGTGATGAGAATCTTTACCTGTCAAATCCAAGAGAGTTGCCTGAAAGCCATTTTGTTTTTTCTGATCAATCCCAAAATCAAACAGGCACAAGTAGAGATCAAAGGGAACATACATATTAAATCTGAGAGATCCATATGGTACTTCTTAGGAAATAAGGAAATAGGAATCTTTATGATGGCACCTGTTGGCCATTTTTCCCTTATCAGTACCAAAACCAAACAGGCACAACTAGGGATCAAGAGTAACATACACATGAAATTTGAAAAAAGAACCTACGCTAACAAACTTTCTCTGTCAAAATCAAAGATTGTTTTTCTGATCAAACCCAAAATCAAACGGAAATTACTAGGGACAAAGTGACCTCTACACTTGAAATTTGAGAAAAAGATCATTAATTCTCCAGAAATAGTGATAACAAACTTTCAAATTCAAAATCCAAGATGGCCGCCTGTAAGCTGTGTGGTTTCTCTGATCAGTCGCAAAATTAAATTGGTACAACTAAGGACAAAGAGACCTACATATGAAATTTGAGAAAGATCCATCAAGTACTTCTCAAGAAAATGCGATAACAAAAATTGTTTATGGATGGACACACCACGGACATAGGGCGATTTGAATAGTCAACCATTTGATGATGGTGGGCTAAAAATCTTCTAATCAATCAAGAATCATTCTAGCTGTCAGAAGAGTTACTCACCCAGAGGCATGGGTGGCCTTGGTGGCAGCACCATTAGGCCACCACGGGGCTGTTGCATCAGCGGTTGTGGCATATGCTGCTGTTGTGGAGGCCGCGGAGGCATCTTCTGTACAGGTGCTAGCTTCGGAGCCTGTGGGGGAGGGGGTTGGGATTTAGGAGGTGGAGGTGGTGGTGCAGCCTTGGGAGGAGGAGGCTGTTTGGGTATGGCTGGTCCAATCTTTTCCTTCTCCTCATCTGGTCTACAACATTAAATAAGACATTGATATATTCAAATAAAGTACTTAGGAACAATATTGTCAATTTACTATAACATGTCTTTTTTCCATTTAAGACAACCATAAAAATAAATAGTAAAGCAAACTAAATCTAAACCAAATCACAATGGTTGTAAAACTAGATCTGATATCAGAAAAAGGCAACAGGTAATTCTATGTCTGTTTTCCTGATCACATTGAAGATTACATTTGTTTCATTTACAACTAGTATAGACAAGATAATAGATACGTACAGGAGTCCTTTGACTTTGTGTATGACAGCAATCTGCTCCTCTATGGTGATATTCTCACGTGCCTTCTGTGTGACTTTCTCCATGGAAGCTGTGTGTCCATCCCACACAACCTTTTTCTCTTTCTTCTCCTCTTCACCGATCTGAAAAATAAATTATTCAACTTTTAAAAAATTTCTACAACAAAACATGTACAGATAAATGACAAGTCAAATCATTGTAAGCAATAATTCAGTACTTAGATAAAATATGTGGTTTTAAGTAGACAAGTTAAATCAATACTTCTGAGCTAGTCCAGAGTGTTTCCATTTAAATGCTAAAATACAGTATACAGTTTAATCCAATGAACTTTCACTCAATGATAATACAAGACACTTGCCTTTGTCATAAAATGTTGAAAAACCCTTTTGTTGTAAATTAAAATTTGTAGTAGTGTATTGTTAAAACTGCCAGACAAGTCTTATGATATCATATTTTCAATTGACAACCAAATTTTTTAAAATATAAAGATAAGCACACTTAATTTCAGATCTTTTCCATACCTTTTTACCAATCTGGGTCTCCTCCACACCAGCACCAAAGATGTCAGTACGCCTCTCAGCCAACATTTTCAAGCTACTCTCAATGGCCGAGCCTGGAGCAAACACCTCTTCCTGATCACGCTTCTCTGTAATTGTTCTCTTACGGGCTTCAATCCACTTAGGATCCAGCAAACCTGATCAAAGCAACATCATGATAAAACCAAACAGATCAAAAAGAAAGATCTCCAGCTTCTTACAAATCCTACAACTTAGTGTTTCAACTTAGTATCATTATTACACATAAAACAGCCAGGTGATTATTAACAAGAATCCATGTCCTATCAACCCTTATGTGTCTAGTAAGGAAAGTTTGTTTTTATTAAATAAATACAGTGGTCTCTATTGGATTGACAAGACGTTTATTAGAAAAAAGTCTTGCCTGACTTTAAGTGTCTAGCAAGATAAGAAAGTTGTCTTACAGATTCTCATATGTCTATGTGGACAGTGTTTGTTAACTGGAATCAATGGAAGCTGTCTTACCGACCCTCATGCGTCTATGCGGACAGTATGTCAGAGGTGACATGGTGATTATCATGTGTCTGTGGACAGTATGTCAGAGGTGACATGGTGATTATCATGTGTCTGTGGACAGTATGTCAGAGGTGACATGGTGATTATCATGTGTCTGTGGACAGTATGTCAGAGGTGACATGGTGATTATCATGTGTCTGTGGACAGTATGTCAGAGGTGACATGGTGATTATCATGTGTCTGTGGACAGTATGTTACAGGTGACAAGGCAATTATCATGATTCAGTGGTGGTTTCTTACCAATCCTCATATGCTCCTGCACCTTGTGGGCGGGGATCTTTTCGCCAGTGATAGGTGACACAAGATACTGGTCAGAGGTATCCTCAAGAGGGAGGGCCTTGGCTGGAGAATAAAATCATAGAACCACACTATTATTATATCTTAAAGACCACACCTACATGACAATCTGCATACAACACTATCATTCAAGCATTCTGTGTCCTTCACATTAATCATTTATTTTCTGTCACAACTTACAGAGATAGTAAGCGTGACTCATTATATCTAAATATTCCCTAACAAAACATGACTGATATAAGTCCCTTCTAACATGTATCTTCTAAGTCCTTGGCTTTCACTGAAAGAAGGATCGAAGTCCCTTCAAACATAATCCTTCTATGTCCTTACCCTGAGATGAAGGATCAAACTCCCTTTGCACACAACCCTAACATTTTGCTTCACTTATTTCATTACCTTTTGGATCATAGTCTTTCCTAACCACCACTTGATCTGGCATCGGGGGGAGTGGTGGCGCTGGTATATCACTAGGAGGTGGGGGAGGTGGAGGAGCAGGTGCTGGTGGCTGAGGTGGAGCAACTTCATGTAGCTCCTCCTCGTCTTCGTCTGCAGAGGAAGACGACTCATCCATGTCCTGTAAACAAGTAGCATACTTATAAAACACACAGTAGAAATACAGAACAACCTAGAAGTTATAGACAGGATAAAACATCATCCACTTCCTAATACATGCACGGTTTTCTTATCGGATCTAATAAAATATAGAAGATAAACGAACCTCTGAACAACAGAGTGGAATAATATACACTCATGCCATGATTTATTGTATTGAAAAGAATAAAAATATGGAAATGGTAATAAAAATAATAAGTTAAAATATCAAGATGGAAAAGACTGCTTTATTTTTTATTCATAAATTAAACTAGACTAAGTTCTGAAAGAAATCTGTGAACAAGATTGAAAAGCAGCAAAGGGCAAGGTTTTTTTAAAAATATTTATAAAAGTTGGGAAAACATCTGAGACCTAATGTCCTATAAGTATACATGAGCAGAAGTTTGTCCCCCAGGTCCCAGGAGGATACTATACACTATGCAATGTGCTCTTAAAAAAAAGGGATAAAATCCAGGTATAAGAAAGCACCTCAGGAGTTCTTTTTCTTATACTCTAATTTTTCAAAATATTATTGAATTGAGAAAATCGAGAATAAGATAAATTGGTGAAAAACTGAAAAAGGAAATCTGCAGACAAAATCAAAATGCTTAAAAATCATGCAGAAAAAAATGAGTAGAATTGCTTTGTAAAAAAACACTTAATATCATAGGTATAAAGTCTATCAAGTTTGAAAGAAATTGGTTCAAAGCTGAGAGAAGAAATATCTGGGCAAGATGAACATTACGAAACAACAAGGGCAATAACTCTTCAAACTACAGACAAATCAAACTGTCAACTGTGAAAGATATCAGTTGAAAACTGAAAGGGAAGATTTAGGGACAAATATGAGTTTACAACTGACAGACAATGACATACCATAATATGTCCCATCAACATTTTTGACAGGTGTATTCAAACTACCTGTACCTTATTATGATTAAATATGAACTTTTTGACAAAAATGAGAGCTGAGAACAGCATAGCTCACAGGTTGAGGACATATTTCGTGTGAACACCAATGTGTATTCTGATGAGTCATTAACATCCTTTTACCTGTAGCTCACCAATGTGTATTCTGATGTGTCATTAACATCCTCTTACCTGTAGCTCACCAATGTGTATTCTGATGAATCATTAACATCCTTTAACCTATATCTCACCAATGTGTATTCTGATGAATCATTAACATCCTTTTACCTGTAGCTCACCAATGTGTATTCTGATGTGTCATTAACATCCTTTAACCTATATCTCACCAATGTGTATTCTGATGTGTCATTAACATCCTTTAACCTATATCTCACCAATGTGTATTCTGATGTGTCATTAACATCCTTTAACCTGTAGCTCACCAATGTGTATTCTGATGTGTCATTAACATCCTTTAACCTATATCTCACCAATGTGTATTCTGATGAGTCATTAACATCCTTTTACCTGTAGCTCACCAATGTGTATTCTGATGTGTCATTAACATCCTTTTACCTGTAGCTCACCAATGTGTATTCTGATGTGTCATTAACATCCTTTTACCTGTAGCTCACCAATGTGTATTCTGATGTGTCATTAACATCCTTTTACCTGTAGCTCACCAATGTGTATTCTGATGAATCATTAACATCCTTTAACCTATAGCTCACCAATGTGTATTCTGATGTGTCATTAACATCCTTTTACCTGTAGCTCACCAATGTGTATTCTGATGAGTCATTAACATCCTTTTACCTGTAGCTCACCAATGTGTATTCTGATGAATCATTAACATCCTTTAACCTATAGCTCACCAATGTGTATTCTGATGTGTCATTAACATCCTTTTACCTGTAGCTCACCAATGTGTATTCTGATGTGTCATTAACATCCTTTTACCTGTAGCTCACCAATGTGTATTCTGATGAGTCATTAACATCCTTTTACCTGTAGCTCACCAATGTGTATTCTGATGTGTCATTAACATCCTTTTACCTGTAGCTCACCAATGTGTATTCTGATGTGTCATTAACATCCTTTTACCTGTAGCTCACCAATGTGTATTCTGATGTGTCATTAACATCCTTTTACCTGTAGCTCACCAATGTGTATTCTGATGTGTCATTAACATCCTTTTACCTGTAGCTCACCAATGTGTATTCTGATGTGTCATTAACATCCTTTTACCTGTAGCTCTATTTCTGTTTGCCGTGCCTTTCCTACATTCTTTTCTATCTCCACTTCCTCTTCGTCGTCAGATTCTACCTCCATCTCTTCTCCCTCATCAACCTATAAAGCCAGAAGACACATAAGTCACAGTGATTTTCTCACTTGACATAAGACCCTGTTGTTTGAACTACATACTTGTGTAAAAACTTACTTTTTAACAATAAAACTGAATATAAGACAAAAATTAAGATGCACAATTTTTTTCAAAATCTACAATATTTTTAAGTTTGAACTCTTGGACTTACCTCCCCTCTATCTATTCTCTCCTGAGCAAGAACACGAGCTCCCACCTCAGAGGGTGTGGTCGGAGGTGGCAGGTTACCTGGAGAAATTATATGTCAGCTATTACCATAACACAAAGTATAAATCAATGCATACATCTAATGTCAGTGTCACCCATATTCCCCTAAGTCTCCCTTCCTCTAATGTCAGTGTCACCCATATTCCCTTAAGTCTCCCTTCCCCTAATGTCAGTGTCACCCATATTCCCTAAAGTCTCCCATCCCCTAATGTCAGTGTCACCCATATTCCCTAAAGTCTCCCTTCCCCTAATGTCAGTGTCACCCATATTCCCTAAAGTCTCCCTTCCCCTAATGTCAGTGTCACCCATATTCCCTAAAGTCTCCCTTCCCCTAATGTCAGTGTCCCCCATATTCCCTAAAGTCTCCCTTCCCCTAATGTCAGTGTCACCCATATTCCCTAAAGTCTCCCTTCCCCTAATGTCAGTGTCACCCATATTCCCTAAAGTCTCCCTTCCCCTAATGTCAGTGTCACCCATATTCCCTAAAGTCTCCCTTCCCCTAATGTCAGTGTCACCCATATTTCCTAAAGTCTCCCTTCCCCTAATGTCAGTGTCACCCATATTCCCTAAAGTCTCCATTCCTCTAATGTCAGTGTCACCCATATTCCCTAAAGTCTCCCTTCCCCTAATGTCAGTGTCACCCATATTCCCCTAAAGTCTCCCTTCCCCTAATGTCAGTGTCACCCATATTCCCTAAAGTCTCCCTTCCCCTAATGTCAGTGTCACCCATATTCCCTAAAGTCTCCCTTCCCCTAATGTCAGTGTCACCCATATTCCCTAAAGTCTCCCTTCCCCTAATGTCAGTGTCACCCATATTCCCTTAAGTCTCCCTTCCCCTAATGTCAGTGTCACCCACATTCCCTAAAGTCTCCCTTCCCCTAATGTCAGTGTCACCCACATTCCCTAAAGTCTCCCTTCCCCTAATGTCAGTGTCACCCATATTCCCTAAAGTCTCCCTTCCCCTAATGTCAGTGTCACCCATATTCCCTAAAGTCTCCCTTCCCCTAATGTCAGTGTCACCCATATTCCCTTAAGTCTCCCTTCCCCTAATGTCAGTGTCACCCATATTCCCTAAAGTCTCCCTTCCCCTAATGTCAGTGTCACTCATATTCCCTAAAGTCTCCCTTCCCCTAATGTCAGTGTCACCCATATTCCCTTAAGTCTCCCTTCCCCTAGTGTCAGTGTCACCCATATTCCCTTAAGTCTCCCTTCCCATTGCGAACAACCTTTTGTCTTTACTCCTTTTCCCGATATTTTTCAGTCAAACTACATTTACACGACCACTTTCATCCCCCCAAACCAGAAATATTATCAAACATTGTAGAGGAAATCTTGCCTTCACAGCTTCAAAAAGAAATATAAAATAACTGTGTTTGTCAGTGACATAACAACTGCTTACCATAGAAACTAGTTCAATGTGTAATATTATGTACAATCATATAGAGGTTTCAAATGCTTAGTTGTTTAAATAGTAAAAGCTAAATGCACTATTAACAATAACATTAACAAAACAAAGTATTCCAATACTAGAGAATTTGGTCAAACTGAAGGTGTTCAGACATTTAATCCTATCATCATGCTACTTTTCACTATTGCCCTTTCTCAATGTTTATAGAGTGAATGTAAAAAGTAGACTTAGTAGAATTAGATGCTGATGTCAAAATATGTTTTTATGAAATCTGAAACCCTGGGTGGATGTTTCCTTGAGTGAATGTTTCCCTGTATGCAGCATCAAAGTAGTATATAGGGAACTATCAGGTGTTGGTGAATACATTATACTGGGATAACACCTACTTTACACAAAGATTACAGGTGTCAAGTATCATCTCAAAACATTTGTTCCTAAAACATCAGGAAATGGTTGGAAAATAAGATGAACAGAATTTGTTTCAGGGCATCTGTGAATATTTACCTTGTTCACTGGGCTGGAAGTCCACTGTTTCCACCACAACAAAATCATGCCAGTCAACCTGTGCATAGGCCACTGAATAACAGATAGGGTCACAGAAATTAATTTACATGTAATTAGAGAACAGATCTTATAGACAAAATTAAATTAAACACCTATATGGCACTGAACAAATTCTAGAAAATATTAACAGCCACACTCTGATATGATGTACTGACCCCTTTCTCTCTCAATAGCCTCGGCCTCCTTCCTTCGCTCCCTCTCCTGGTATTTGGCCCACTCTACACGGTACTTCACCTGGTTTAGTACCTTGTGATAGTCATCACTCTCTGACTTGAGTTGTGCTAGTAAGTCCTTGGGAGGGATCAAGATCTGATGATATAAATACAAGGTTTATCATCAAGCAGTGTACCCTGTTACTCTCCCTGACTAATTATATATTTCACACCTTAGTATCCTGTTATTAATATTGATTACAGACCTTTGTATAATGTTCAACAAAATTGGTGAAATCACCTTTAAAACTAGGAGTTTTACCTGAAAAATGTTGAGACATTGATTACAGACCTTGGTATACTGTTCCACAAGTTTGGTGAAGTAGTTGAAGAGACTGTGCTGGGGTCGGAGAAAGTCAAATTGATAATTTCTTTGCTCCCTGTTCATCAAATTGGTAAGGAACTGTCGTCCATTTCTGGCCACAAACTGGGCAGTTAGTTTGACCACGTCCCTGTAAACAAAACAATAAGTATCACTCAAAACACTTAAGGCGTATAACAATTGTCAGAAAATTATCAATACTATTGTAATGTTAAATTTACTATTTATACCAAAACTGTACAGATATGTAGATGACAAAAACACAAAACCACACAATTTGGATTTAATCAACTTCAGCTGCAAAGTCTGATGCTCAAACAATGGTGTTACTGCATCCCTGTGTTTGAAGAGGCAAGTTGTTGATAAAACAATTAATGAAAAAATAAAAACTATTCTAACATTCAGAATAAAGAAGGGACATAAAATAAGAAGAGGATCAAATAATCTGATTTTAATTGTTAATGGTAATACAATTGTACTTGTCCTATATAACTAGAGACTGATCAACTCTTTAAATCATCATATATATTAACTAGGAAAATAAATATTTACTTACAGGTCAAAAGCTGATATAGAAGGAGGGTCAGCAACAAATTCAAACTCAGCAGGTGGTTCAGTGGGTATGATGGGGATATCAATGATCCGAGCCTGCTCCAACATAGGCTTCTGTAGTCCTGGTACTGACTGTCCACCAAACTAAAACACCACAAAAAATGTCCTGTTCTCAAGTATTCATGTAAACAGCCAGTCAATTCAAACATTTATTATTCAGGGCTCTCACACCCCATTTTGGGCCCAGGAATTGGGAAAAATAATGGTGTTTTCCTTAGAATTGGGAAAACTTGGGGTCTAATTGGGAAAAAAAGATACTATTTTGCATATTTGGCCCCAAATTTGGCAGATCGAGAGCCCTGTTATTAATGAACCTATTCAAATGTACTGATTGATGTTTTCTTTTAAATCACTCACTGATATTAACGAAGCATATCTTTAAATATTGAAATTGTCTATTTAACATAATACATAAATTTAATCTGGACGCAGTCAATCTTTTTAATCTGTATCTGTTTTTAAAAATTCATTATGAAATACTTGTTCTTAAATAAATCACATGCAAATATTCTGTGCTGTGTACCAATGGTTTGTTATACATAATTGGAGCCAAAAGTCATGTCATCTGACACACGCACGATGTGACAGCAAAAGAGATGAAAGAAATCACACTTGATCAATGCTAATAAAGTGCTGTGTATGTGTATAATTGGTGGTAGCATGTGCTTACAGCAATAAATTACAACCTGCAACAATTGCAATTATTCATACCATTGACCTTAACAGAACACACATGGAGTGATTCATACAACATCAATGTCCCTCTAAAAAGTTTGGTTATGTACAATATCTCCAGGCGTTCACACGATCAAAGTAAATATCAAAAGATGAATGATTGCAATTCTACAATCAGATAAGCAAAGAAGATAACTTATTGAAAGTTATCCAGCCAAATTCAATAATTTGTTGTCATCAAGTTTTTGGGATCCATGTCAAAGGTCTCAATAAGTATATATTCCGAAAACATTTCCTTCACCATATCATTATAATATACTTAAAATATTTACTTACAAGTACAGCAAATCATTTATCTTATTGATTGTAAAATATTTGATGTAGTGTACAAGGGAGTTACCTGTACACTTTTACAGTTAAGACTACTTGCCAGCTGGAAATATTTACCAATCCTTTTGATTATAAAAGGTGGGGTACTTGTATTAATGATTTACACTAAGCTAGTGCTACACAATTACCTTTGGAGCTGAAGGTTCTTGTCCTACAATGAAATAAAAAGCAAATTTTAAAACAAATAACAAAACATAATTAATTCAAATGTCATAATTTCCTTAAAATCATTTTGACATTACAGGAGAGGTACTTGTTGGTATCAAGATCAGAGATGACCATTTACCAGTGACGTGTGAAATAGTACCATTATATAGAATCATTACGAAAAGACATTTTTTAAATATATTTTATGAATATGTAAGTATTTAACAAGTTAAAAATGAAATCTTAAGGTTAACTTGTCCACATTTCAGAATATTTCAGGGTGAAATTTAAGTAATACATGTATCACTGCTTTGTATACCTACAGTATAGTGACCTATGTCAAATTTAACTGGTCCCATAGTGTATGGTCAGACCAAATATAAATACAAATGGACATTCCAAATCACTTTCGTTGAAATCTCTTAGAACAAATATGTATAAACCAGATTTTCATTATGGCTGTCATAATCATTGATAATAATCATTTTGGATAACTGATTAACTATCAGAACCACAAGTGTAACATTTCATCTTTTTTTAATCAGAATAACTTCAGTAATGCTTGAAGTTCAATTGAAAATTGATCATGTAAAAGTAAAATTTTGAGGTTAAAATACAATATCAACTTTTATCAACAACCAAATCTCAACAACAACATTAACAATGTCAGAATCTTACCTCTGCCTTCCTTAAACTCCTTCACCTTGTGTTGATAGTATGCATGGTAGGGATCAGAAGGGTTCAAAAAGTTGAATTTTGGGTTGTTAACTTCATTCTGACGAATCCTACTCTCAAATTCTGGACCATTTCTGGCTACAAAGCTAGCAGTCTTATCAACAATATCTGAAGTTTAGTGTTAAAGATCAATAAACAGAATAAGAAATTAAATAGTTATCAGTACTTACTGATGATTACATTACTTAGTTATTGATATCTCTCTTTACTTACTTGTGAAAGTAATAAATAATATTCAAATTCTTTTTTGATTATCTTTATGATTTCAATTTTTCATCCAGCTATCACCACATTTTTATTTTTGCATCATATCCATTACAAGTACACATGGATACTTAGCTGTCAGAACAATAAACAGTTTTTGTCCATCACTATCTAGGTAAGTTGATTTTGCATGAAAATGAAAGTTTCAGTCTGATGATAGAAAAACTTGTCCCTTATAGTGTTAATCAATGTTTACATCATTGCCTTAGATTTTAAAATGATCTACTTTTAGTAACTATCAGATATGATGTAGTTTTGAACAAGTGTGGCAATAAACATTTTAGTCAAAATCAGATGATTTTCTTGGCCTGTTTACCTAACAAATCTTCTTTACTTAGACTACTGATGGGACAAGCATGACATACAACTGGAACTGTAAACAAGACCCCATTTAGACTTACATTATGACAATAGCTGGTCACCCTCTTTCAGTTGTCGACTACCATTCATTGACCAGTAAGAAATAGAACCTAGTTCCATATAAATAATATACAAATTAAAATATGTATCATCTTGAAAATATGTTTTCATGTAGAATAAATCAGTTTTAACTCCATCGATTTTCAAATAATTTTCAGCATGTTTCATGCATAATATAGTATAAAATAATGACAAAGGGTTTTCCCTTGATGTTTTAGGTATTTTTTTTTTTCATCATGGTATCTATATTACTTCTACGTTGATATTACAAAATTAGGAAGTAAACAATGCACATTGAGACAAAGACTTGGTAATGTAATACAGTATTACACCTTCCTGGACAAGGTACTATATAAAATGTAAATGTGACCAAAAAATCAGCTTAAAATGATGTGGGGACGAAACGACCGCTTGTCGTTAAAGTGGCAATGCAACTCTCAAACCTCCACAGAAAATGACCAAACGTTAAACAGTGGTAATCATTAAACCAACAAAAGGGATTCGTTATGAACTGATTATGAATGGTGAACAGATCACGAAAACTGGAGACCGAGTTAGCTAGTTCACACGTGAACGTCGCCGAGCATACGTTCAAACAAGCGTACGCACTTCTCACAATTGAAGGATACTCCTCACTTCTGGAGGCGGATAAATTATTCCGATGACTGGTTTAGCTGCTGCAACTTCTTCGTTTGATTTTCCTTCTGGCACAGCGGCCATCGGGGTTCCTTCGATGGGCGGCATCGTCTGAAATCGGTTAAATTCCAACCATAAACTAATGGCCTCGCGCAAGGTACTTCCAAGTTCAAGGTTGTTCCCTAATCGACGTTAGTAAAATGCTTTAAAATTGCTCTGAAATGTCCCTTTCACGAAGCCGCTGACTGACTCTGATCAGAAATAAAATCTCGCGAGATAACCGTCATATTTTTACCATTAGTTGCTGAGGACGCTTGCTGTTCTGTCATGTTGTTGATGCGAAAACAATATGGATAGGTGTTAGTTAACAAAAGTCACTGTAAGTACATGTTTTGTTACTTTTAAGTATCAATTAACAATTCAAAAAGAATTCTGAAGAAAAAAATCTGGTAGCATGTGTTGACTGAACATGTATGCCGGTCACCGTGATAACAACAGTAAATAAACAAGGAACCAACTTGCCGGAAGGGTTTTCTCTACAACTGTTAGAAACACGCGTAAATACCACTGTAAGTGATCTGTTTAGCCTATTTGTTTATTATTTATTATATGAATGCACAAAGAATGATTGATGGTGCAATGAATAGGATACAATCATAACGGATATTGAGCTACATTGTAGTTCACTTAATCCCAACCGCGAAAATATCTTCGTCCTAATGTAACTTTCAGTAAAACGTTGAAGAGGACAAATAATTCTATTTAAATTGATGTTGTGAAAATTCACGATATCATACGTTTATACCAATACGAAATCGGTGTAGATTCACTTTTTGTAAATATGCCTGCATTTATGATCCTTTCAGAACTTAAGTTGGAAAATAATTCAGACGTTTCCGTGAGGAGTCGGTATTTACTTAAAACATGTATACATCCTAATCAGACTACACAGGGAGCCCTCCAATGCATATACACAACTATTCTACTTGTGATTTGATGTCATAGAAAACTTGCAGCGCATACGACATAACACTTTATCTGTAAATGCACCTACTTCACCTGTACCTTTGAGTATACAGATTTGTCACATTTTTTTTTCGTGGCGGATTTCTGAACTTTGTTTGTATTTTAGTGGGGCTCATTTTGAGTAATTGTTTATTTCGATATCCCCACAAAGTGTTTTTTTAATAGATATCACTCAGCCTTAGTATGTTTTAATCTCAACTTTTCATAATTATCAGGAGGAAGTTCTCTCAGAATATATCTGAATCTCATAAGTTTGCCAAATGATGCATAGACCAGGACTTCAAGTCTACTGCACAGTGCTTACTAAATCTACTTTATTTACTTAAATGTTCATTATTCCTGCTATGCTAAACCTTGGATGGGACACAAACCCCTTTCTGCTGAAAGGAGTAATGCAAACATGTGGAAAAAAGCCTAAGAGTTGATATATAGTTGACTAATTGGCTGACAACACAAAATGTACCCTTTGTTACTTTGCCATTTTTTTGTAAGTTCTGCAGAGATCAGAGGCCATGATATCTATTATCTATGTCTGGGTTTTCCATAATTTTGTTAGTAGTAGGCTGTGTAGTGAAAGTAGGAGGCTGGCGAAGCAAGCCAACCCGAGCCGCAACGTGGCAAGGTGGGGGTGGCCTGTCGTGTACAGAACATTATTACGGAACTGGATTGGTGTAGGCGGCCAAATAATCAAAGTAGCCAGTCAAATTGGCCGGCGACTGGCTCTTATGGAAAACCCTGCTATGTACAAGCAAAGCACTGAAAGCAGTCTGTACAACTGCATGTAAATATCATAACAGAATAGTCAAACTCCTGACATGATTGAAGCTGTGATCAAGATGATCAAACAAAGTACAGAATTTTAAGTTGATAGGAAAATAAAGGAAAAGAAACAGACTATTTATTATTCAAGGCCTAATTGACCAAATTGACTCTGGAAACTAAACAAAAGTAGAGTCTGAAATTCTCATCGCCTTCATATTTGAACATCTATCATCATTGTTAATGTTTGATACCATAAAACGCTATAGTCTAACTAATGAAAACCCTTGACTTCTACATAGTTATGTTTATATCTCACCCTAAATCTTTCCTTTCATTTTTGACAGGATCCAAGAATTTAGTCCCCCAGTATCGGTACAGATGAGATTAGACCAGCCTAGCACGATGTCAGGATTCAACACAAATACAAATAAAAAGGAAGATGTCTCCACCAAACTTAAAGCCATGTAAGTTTTCTATATTATATCAGCAGCTAGTCCCGTAGTTCTTTTTTTTTTTTTTTCAAATTGAGCAGACTGCTGTAGCTCAGCCAGAATAGCGTTAGACTTTGCAAGCTCCTGGGAAGATCCAAGGTATGTCACTAGTTCATTGATCCTTGCTCTGGATGGTTTGTGCTTCTTAAGAAGCTGAGAAACAGACTTCCCTGTATTGTAATAGTTGTGTCCTGAAACTTGACAGTTTACTCCTTTGGATGGCATGCAGTGGACCACCATATGTAGCTTCTACAAGGAGACTGTCCAAAAGTAACAGATAGTAAACTTAGCAAAGAAATCAATAAATTCAGCTGTTAATGATATGGTAACTTGGTAAGTATAGTGATCTGATTACGATCTTCTGTGGTGATATTTTGCGAGCCTGATAGGAAACATTTTTTATAATAAAAGGAACAAGAAATAGAAATGTGTTATAATCATGTTTATAATCTTCATATAAATAACATCACCTACAGAAACTTGAATTGTTTTTTATGTAAATGTTCCATTTATTTTTTCATTGTTCTCTTAGGTCTTATTATACGTAAGTAACTGAGAACCACTTCCAGAAATCTCTTACTATGAGCCTCTCTGTCTCTGCATGCATGCACACAAACTGGAGTAAAGATTGATGTGTTCATTTATCAATATATTTCATAAACTTTAAAATCATTAGAATGAAATTTAAAGCAATCTTTGACAGAATGCAACAGTGTATTAATTAATTCAGTGTTTGATGAAATAAAATGTCATAAATTTAGAGGGAAAATATGTTGTTGCAATATTATAACGATGGCATCAACATTTTTCTATATTATATCTACCAGAGTACAACCCAGTTTTAGTTTTATTTTTCCCATATTTGGAAAACATGTAATCTGTAATGAATTCCATTGACCTCCATCAAAATTAAATGATGAAGGAGCTTACATAAAAAAAATTCATGAGGAATTTTTGTTTTAATATATGATTGCGCATTCATCTGAATATGAACCTCTCCCTTCATTATCAAAGTTTACTTACTCTATTTACATATTACACATATCCAAACATACAGCATGTTTGTCACATCAATAGGTCACCTTGCATTGATCTAGCTCTTTGCAATCTACACCCAGCTTTCCACTTAATTATACATCACCATACAGGACAAGAAAACACAGATTCTGTTTTCTATTCTTATACCTATGTGGAAACAGCATTTTCTGTGAATTCTGGAATTGAAGAATTCTAAAGATGTTATTTTTTCATCATCTCCTTTTCACACTTTGTGTATATCATGTATATTTCGTCAATCTCATTTACAAAGTTGTAATTGTGACAGATGTTCATGTGTTTAAATATTGTGAAATAAAAACCCTGCAATTGTATGTTTGTGATTTCATGTTTGAAACACCAAGCATAGTTGTCCTGGTTCTGCAATTTGATTACCTATGAGATGAAAATTGTTGGTCATCGTGAGTAGTCTCATGTTTGTGGTATAAAGTATATATATTCATGTCTTTATCAATTCTGTGTTTTGTGATTATTTTCTTATCATTTACCACTAGATATTAAATCAATTCCAGCAAATTATTTTCAATCTGTAAAAGACCATCACCACATTCACTTTTCAAATGCTTTTTAAAATCACACTACTTCTCTGTTTATCAGCTATGATGACATGATGGTCAAGACAATAATTATATTGTCTTTTGTCCAATAGGTTACCTACATTGTCCATTTATCATCTGTACAATACTACAATATATAAATGATTTTCATGTCCATCATCTATGAAATATCGGCTACAGGCCTTAGTCCTTCATAATGCATAAACAAATGTCCTTTATCCTGAAAATACTCACAGGAATAACAAAATGTCTGCCAGATTGCTAAGATACTTGAATTTTCATTTATCAGTTATTCCTGTTTGCCAATATCTTTCAATTTAGAATTGTAATTGTGGGGAAATGACCATTAGTTGGTCAGTCATCATTTTGACAACTAGGTGAAAAGAATTAACTTATGATGGATTAATTCTGTCAATTTTGTTTTAGAACTGTACTGAGAACTTCAACAACTTTCACATAAATTGAAAACAAAAAATCCAAACAAACAAATAAAACAGAAGTAAGATAATTTGGTATATGGAAAATTACATTATAATCTCAATAGACCAAATGTCAATTATTCCCTCACTTAATGGAACAGACTTCCTGAGGAACAGAAACACAAACATATCTCATGATTTTGTATGGTTGACATAACTGTTAATCTAGCAAATGAAAAGAGAAGAAAGTTAATACAAAAGATCAAACTTTCAAAAAGCTAAACAAAGATCTTATGACCATGATTACGGAAATCCCGATGTAAAATCCTTGTTTAGTATCAAGTGTGTGATTTAATTGTTTTTTCATTAGGTCAAACTTAAGATACTTCAAAATATATGATACAGGCTTTGAAAATTATACATGTTTTTGAGATAATGAATTGTTTACTTGCTTTAAGTATTTGAAAATATTTTCTGTTCTGATTTACATACATATATATAGAATTGTGAAGACAAAGTTAATTATCTCTAATGATTTCAAGCCATGTATCAGCTATCTTCAGGCGATATCATGTAATCTAAATGGTCTGTGTAAATACATATAGTGATGTTTATTGAAATATGCAATTTAGTTATCAATATGTGTAAAGGAAGTGAAGTTTGAACGGATATGTAGACATTTTACCATGATTTACTGGTATGTATATATTTTTACCTGTAAGTAAAAAGCTGACGACGTTTGAAGTTGTAATAATTGGTATAGCAATTAGACACTTTTTTTATTTCTAGTAATATTCGGAAAGCTAAAGGAGAAACCAAACAACTGGAAACAGAAAGTAAGAAAATGGAGGAGCGACTGAAAGAGTTAAGGATGGCCATGAACAGAGAGAAGGAGGAGAGGGAGTAAGTCAATAGATTATACTGTGTCAGTTATCTCCCTTTGTCTCTATCGTGTACATTCCAGTAACGAGCACTAAATGTCTGTGTCATCTCCACTTGTCCTCATCATCTGCAATCCTATGGAGAGCACTGACTTATCTATCTCTTCATAAACCTGTAGAGAGCACTGAGTGTGTTGTGTCAGTAATCTCCCCTTGTTTTCATATAGCGAGTGCTGACTATGTCATTTATATCCCCTTTTCTTCATGGTTTGCTAAAAAATACAATTGTGCCTGTAAATTAAACCATAAAAAACCTATATTACTCTAACTTGTTATTATTAATTTATTTGATAAGGAGGTTTTGATTCTTTTTGCTAATTAGATTAGATAAATATTTAACCAAGATTTTTTTTTTTTTGCGATTTGAATTTAATCCTCATAAATCTTGTTTGAAATTTTTTCTGTACAGGAGACAGGGTGGAGGTTATTGGAGTCGTGGTCAGACTGGACATCTCAACAGCTATGCTACTGATGTACTCAATACAAAGCCTGCAAAGGTCCCTGCTGCCAAGGTAACACAAATGCTATAAAGACCCATTATTTACAAGCACTCCCACTAATTTTATATAGACTTGCTAAACCATATAAATTGAGTGTTGATTATGAAGAGACAGTAGAACAAGTAAATTGATCTTCTATCCTTGTATAAAGTTTTCTATGATAAACATATCAGTAAGCAAGCCTATTTTTATCATTCTTACAGGATGGCAAGAGGAAAGTTAAAGTGCTGAAAGATACCACTTTAGGTAAGTTAATAGTTTGGTAACAGAATGGTCCTATGACAAATGTGTTTATGATCATAGAAAGAGTACCTGAAAACCAACTTTTTTTATGATCAGCTATGGGCCATCAGATTCTCCTGTGGTAAACAGGAAGAAAATCACAGACCTTTCAACTAGGATTCATTTCTTTGATCTGATGTGAAAATGTTTGGTGTCACTTATACTCAACCACATGGGTTTTTTCTACAGGTATCCTGATTTCTCCTCATGTGCTAAGATTTACATTGTCATCCGAGCTGACAGGATCGATTGTTATCACCTCTCCTACAATTGTTGTAAACTAGATAAAGTTTATACATTTCATATTTCAAAGCTACATGTCACAAAATGAATTATTTCGTTTCCAGATGTACCAGACAGACCTAAGCATCCAGGTACTATGGGATACATAGCTAAACAGGACGCATCACTTACCCCCAGAAGTAGGAACATCAAAGGACCTAAGTGTGGGCAGTGTGAAGAGAAGAGGGCTGCAGTGGTCAGTACATGGTCAAAAAACCCAAATAACCTGTTCTTGTCATGAATTCTGATGTAAATTATACAGTATTACAGACAGTATGTAGTTAATGATTTAATCTCATTAATAATAGTTTTGTAGTCATTTGATTACCTGTCATGTTTATCCTCAGAAATTTAAATCAGAGATATATTTCGACAGCATTATTAGACAGAATTTAGTCAATTAGTTGAATATGTACCATATAAGTGTCATGTATTAAACTGAGATCATAGTGGTTTTTAATAGACTTTGATTCAGCCATCTGATATCACATTCATTTTAACAGGCTGTTTTTGTTACACGATTAATTGTGACTGAGTTCAAATCTAACTTTTTTCAGTAATATATGTGATTAATTTGATTGATAGCTTAACAGAATGGTCTGGGTTTTTTTTGTAAAACAGTCTTGTGTTCAGTGTTCGGAACACTACTGTGCCAGCTGCTTTGCCGCCTTTCACCTGAGGGGTGCTCTGAAGAAACATAGATCTGTCCCACTCTCGGTATGTTTATTGTTAATATTACACTGAATTGTCTCCCTCTCTCAGTATGTTTGTTGTTAATATTACACTGATCTATTCCTCTCTGAGTATACTTGTTTTCAATGGTACACAAATCAAAATTTAATCTTTTTTGCACAGAATTATATTACTGGGCTAATGAAAGAAAAAGGGAGGTAATAATCATATTATGATTTAATCCCCAGGCATCTGGACCGCGTGTTTGTATGTCACCTCGACCACCACAGCCAAGCAATGGAGATAGGTAGGTATTATTTCTGATGAGCCATCTGATTATTTCATTTAGTTCAGCTGATATTATATGAAATTATATATATTATATACTCACTACACTTGTTAAATCATCGGATCTGAAATAAAATTTAAAGATTTGTTTTTGGTTTTTTATAAAATGAAAAATTTTCCCACAAATTTGACAAACTAAGTGAGATAGTAAAATGTCTATATTCATACAAAACATACTGTGTAATATTTATCATCCTGCATGTTAACATGTCACATCACACACACAATCAGATGTTTAGTTTGAAAGAGGTTAACCTCTGATCAGAATTACAAACAGAAAATTAAAAAAATACACATGTTAAATAAAATACAGACTTCTTTCTTTCAATGCTGTAGAAGTGACTTGAAGCTAAGAGAGGTCAAACAAATATTTTCACAAAACATACTCAAATTTTGTTTGTCATATTCATTTTTTTTCATTCAAAGTAATATTTTGAATTATGTGAAAGGTCTCTGTTTACTTGAAAGAAATATCAGAGAATACCCTAAATTCTCGAAAACAAGCTTATCTCAAAAATAAGCTTATCCTGTAGATAAGCCTGAAGTCTCTTACATAAGTAAACCACTATTTGTTTATTATAATCAGAGAAAGTAACTCACATATCATTTTCGAGTTTTTAGGGCATTATCTTTTAAATGTGTTTGAATGTGTTTGATACTCTGACAATCAGAGAAAGGTAAAAAGGTAAAAAGGTGTAGACACAGGTATGCTGTTACATGGCTGTTTATCCTTACTGTTTATATCTTTTCCAGGAGTATAGATTTCCATGCCCCACCCCCGGCTGAGGGAGCTGAGGACCCTTACCTCGCAAAGATTCGGGTAATTAAAACATCTTCACTAGATAGTTAAAGTATATCAACACTTTCTTTATGACAATACAATGCAACAAATAAAGATCGAGTGAAGAACCCATTCTTGTGTCCAGTCAAACAAACTTGACAATCAGGCCGCTGTTGCTCAGTTAATAGCAGTTACTAGTGGTTAGTAGAAAATGGAAATTGCTGCCACTGAACAAAAAGTGTTCAATGAAAAACCGATACTCCAAATTAATCTATCAGACCTATCTGAACAAACTTACAACTGTAGAATAAAAAAAGTGTTACCAATTTTGTTTCATTCATTTTTGAAAATATTCACTAATCACTGCTTAGCTGTAATCAGCCTTTGAAAAGCTTGCTGCAGATTATACCTTAAATATTAATTCTTCAATCTGAAACCAAATTGTTTACTTGATTTACGTATACTAAAAGACACTTAAAAAGGTTAAGATGACTTACAAAGGTATGATTACATTATATATTGTATCAGAAAAAGACACTTACAAAGGTATGATGACATTATATATTGTATCAGAAAAAGACACTTAAAAAGGTAAGATGACATTATATATTGTATCAGAAAAAGACACTTAAAAAGGTAAAGATAACATTATATATTGTATCAGAAAAAGACACTTAAAAAGGTATGATGACATTATATATTGTATCAGAAAAAGACACTTAAAAAGGTAAGATGACATTATATATTGTATCAGAAAAAGACACTTAAAAAGATATGATGACATTATATATTGTATCAGAAAAAGACACTTAAAAAGGTAAGATGACATTATATATTGTATCAGAAAAAGACACTTAAAAAGGTATGATGACATTATATATTGTATCAGAAAAAGACACTTACAAAGGTATGATGACATTATATATTGTATCAGAAAAAGACACTTAAAAAGGTAAGATGACATTATATATTGTATCAGAAAAAGACACTTAAAAAGATATGATGACATTATATATTGTATCAGAAAAAGACACTTAAAAAGGTATGATGACATTATATATTGTATCAGAAAAAGACACTTACAAAGGTATGATGACATTATATATTGTATCAGAAAAAGACACTTACAAAGGTATGATGACATTATATATTGTATCAGAAAAAGACACTTAAAAAGGTATGATGACATTATATATTGTATCAGAAAAAGACACTTACAAAGGTATGATGACATTATATATTGTATCAGAAAAAGACACTTAAAAAGGTAAGATGACATTATATATTGTATCAGAAAAAGACACTTAAAAAGGTAAGATGACATTATATATTGTATCAGAAAAAGACACTTAAAAAGATATGATGACATTATATATTGTATCAGAAAAAGACACTTAAAAAGATATGATGACATTATATATTATATCAGACGTCATGTTCTGGTGCATGTTTACCTTATGATTCTATAGTATAATTTGTAAATACAGGACATTTCATGTTACTCTATTTGTTTGCTTTTGCTTTTTTGAGATTTTCTGAAGGTTGCTCTCTCATTCTTCAGGCTCAGAGGGACCGTAACAGCCCTGAAGGAGCCAGTGGATCGTTTGACCAGAATGGTCTGATGGAAGGGGAGTATAATGAGGCAGAGAGTGCAGCATCATTCCAGCAGGCATTGTTAGCCTGGAGAAATGGTAACAATAGTGATGTTCCAACAACCCCTCCCAAACCTGTGTCTCAGAAACGGATCAGTCCCAGAAAGGTTGCTTACTCTCCTGTCAAAACTCCAAGTAAGACAACATCATAATTGATTTGTTTTGTCATTGTTTCTTAATCTGTTGGTACATGTAAGTCTAAGAGCATCAAATCTTGTGAAAGCCATCAAAACCAAAGCATGGTGATTCAAATATCTCGACAGAATCTCCTATGGGACCAATTTCCATCTTGATCAAGTTAATAAAGATGAATCATAGATATGAGATATGTAGAGAATATAAAATATATCTCATTCAATTTTTGGAAAAAAGACATGATAATTTTCTGAAACCTGTTGTGTTGAATTGTATCCTTGAATACAGTATATTATATCAGTTTCAATAAGATTTCTTTATCACCTTTGTTTTTATTTTTTCCCACTAATCCTTGCAAATGATATACCGATGATACCTAGACATGAGGTAGAAATGTTTTACACTAGATAGAAATATTTCATCTGATCATTATCTGTAACAATTCAGTTAGGTTTTAGTATAAATAAGTTTGAAGGAAAACAAGATATTTGTGATTCAACTTGTGTACACAATGTTAAGTGACTTAGGAGTATATGTTATGTCTTTTCCTCCATGCAGCTGTACAGGTGGAGTTTGGAACATCAACAATACAAGAAAAAGAAAACATAGAAATAAAGTTTACGTCCAACATGTCTTACGCTGATCGACTTTTACTGAAGAAGCACAGGAGGACAGAGGTGGGTAAGATGGCCACCCCCAGACTTGGGGACTGGGAAGGACAGGATGAGCCTGACCCAAGATCTAGGTCTATTACTCCCTACCAAGAACGCAGGACCAGAGATCGGCATCAGACACCACGTCAGGACCCCTGGTTAGCTGGACCATCTACACCTCGTGTGGAGCCATTATTCTCCTCCAGGGAAGAAGAGTGTAAGACCTTAAACAGATATTGTTTTATGTTTTCAGGTTCTCTAGCATTTAAATGTAGCTACGCACTTGCAATTAAACTGCTGTTTAACATAAGACTCATTTGCACATTTAAGTTAATGAGGATGTTATAAGCATATATATATGTGAGTGTGTGTGTGTGTTTATGTGTGTGTGTAAGGGTGTGTGTTTGTTTTGTTTATAATTATATGCCAATCAAAAATATTTTGCTTCGTCAACAGATTATTTTCATAATTGATAGTCTTAATCAACATAATTTATATCAATTTTAATAAAAGAATGTATTTCTCTTTGGCATGGGGCAGTTGTATAGTGATATAAATTTTACAGGAGTCTACAGTTCTATTTGGTGTAAAAGCAGCCAATGAAATGTGATCTAACAACTTAGCTGTGCTATATAGGTGGTAATATAAATATTCATTAGGTTTATGGTTGAATATGTTTCTTTAAACATTTATATGTTATATATAGTACAACCAGTCAACTTCCAAGCCCTTTATGAAGCAGTGAAGTATTCTGAGACTGGGTCCAATCAACCATCACGAACGGTCAGTGGTGGAATGACCATTGAAGAGATAGACGATGTTGTTAGCCCTGTAAGTATGATGTTTTAAGCTGACCTAAGGTCAGAATGCTGACTTGATCACATCTTGTGGTGACATTATGGTTCAGAACTTTGCAGTTACTATGATACCCTTGTTCTGTATTGATCTAGCCTTGACCTCTAGCATGGGCTATGTAATGGACCTCTTGAAATGTCAATAGTTTATGGTTTCCTGAAACTAAATCTCCTATTTATACACACTGACTTCATTTTAATTAAAAATGAATTATTTAAGATATTTATTCATTTTTAAGGTGCTTTCACAATATCATTATGAATTGAGGTGATATTTCTCTAACTTAATGATACGTCCCTACCTATAAATAAACTTTAAGTTCTATAAATAACATTTATAGGTTAAGAAGAAGAAGTTGTACTTTAAGTTAATAGGCTGTTCTACTCTATGTTAATTTCTATGAGAACTGAGAAAAATCTGTGTTTTGTTTGAATTGTTTGAATAAATTTTAATTGGATTCAATTTTTGGGGGCTTTCAGTTATTGTGTTACAATAAATCTTGTAGATGCCAAGAAGTATGTACTGTAATAGTGTAAGTATTGGGTATTACACATATATATTGGCTAGACTTTAGACGTTGTGTAGATCTGTACATCTGTACATTGATACATTTATATAATTCAGCTCATGTTTTTGTTTATGTCTGTAGAAGCATCATAAGTGACTGCACTGTGCATGTTATGCCTATGTAGTACCTTTGATATATACAGTATTAAACTTTAATTGTGATGTATTAAATTACTCCTTAGATTATCAACTTATATACAAATGATTTAAGGCGTTAACTGGTTATAAAAGATTATCGAATTGTTTACAAATAATGTAAACAGTGAACTGGTTATAACAGATTATCAAGTTATCTACAAATAATGTTAACTGTTAACTGGTTATAAAAGATTATTAAGTTATCTACAAATAATGTTAACTGTTAACTGGTTATAAAAGATTATCAAGTTATCTACAAATATTGTAAACAGTGAACTGGTTATAACAGATTATCAAGTTATCTACAAATAATGTTAACTGTAAACTGGTTAAAAAAGATTATCAAGTTATCTACAAATAATGTTAACTGTAAACTGGTTATAACAGATTATTAAGTTATCTACAAATAATGTTAACTGTAAACTGGTTATAAAAGATTATCAAATCATTTACAAATATTGTAAACAGTGAACTGGTTATAACAGATTATCAAGTTATCTACAAATATTGTAAACAGTGAACTGGTTATAACAGATTATCAAGTTATCTACAAATAATGTAAACAGTGAACTGGTTATAACAGATTATCAAGTTATCTACAAATAATGTAAACAGTGAACTGGTTATAACAGATTATCAAGTTATCTACAAATAATGTTAACTGTTAACTGGTTATAAAAGATTATCAAGTTATCTACAAATATTGTAAACAGTGAACTGGTTATAACAGATTATCAAGTTATCTACAAATAATGTAAACAGTGAACTGGTTATAACAGATTATCAAGTTATCTACAAATAATGTTAACTGTTAACTGGTTATAAAAGATTATCAAGTTATCTACAAATATTGTAAACAGTGAACTGGTTATAACAGATTATCAAGTTATCTACAAATAATGTTAACTGTAAACTGATTAAAAAAGATTATCAAGTTATCTACAAATAATGTAAACAGTGAACTGGTTATAAAAGATTATCAAGTTATCTACAAATATTGTAAACAGTGAACTGGTTATAACAGATTATCAAGTTATCTACAAATAATGTTAACTGTAAACTGGTTATAACAGATTATCAAGTTATCTACAAATAATGTTAACTGTAAACTGGTTATAAAAGATTATCAAATCATTTACAAATATTGTAAACAGTGAACTGGTTATAACAGATTATCAAGTTATCTACAAATAATGTTAACTGTAAACTGGTTATAAAAGATTATCAGATCATTTACAAATAATGTTAACTGTAAACTGGTTATAACAGATTATCAAGTTATCTACAAATAATGTTAACTGTAAACTGGTTATAACAGATTATCAAGTTATCTACAAATATTGTAAACCGTGAACTGGTTATAACAGATTATCAACTTATATACAAATGATTTAAGCCGTAAACTGGTTATAAAAGATTATCAAATCATTTACAAATATTGTAAACAGTGAACTGGTTATAACAGATTATAAAGTTATCTACAAATAATGTTAACTGTAAACTGGTTATAAAAGATTATCAAATCATTTACAAATAATGTAAACAGTGAACTGGTTATAAGATCAGTCTTTATCTGTTAATAAGGATATGTTAGGCACAATACATTAAGGGGTTACCTGTATGTACTATCACATTAATGTGTAAATTATCTCCCTTAAAATATAATTCAACAACATGTTTAATTATAATTAGCATTACTGTAACATTTGCTTCTGTAAGAAGACATAAGATCTAGTAAACAAAATAACTCTTTAAAACCTTTGATACATTTGATTTGTAAGAACAATGTGTAGATGAGACATGAACTACTTGGCTGTTCACTTGATATGTACAAGGATCACTTCCCTTCATCAGTCCATACCAGTGACAAAACAGGCACTCAATCTTTAAAACAACCATATTATTAACCTTCTCTGAACCCATTTTTGGATAAACAATGCTTAGAATTCAGAAAAATAAAAGCCTCTCCCATTAGCATAAAAAAAATGTCTGATGTTTAATGTCTGTAATAAGTGTAATGGTTTTTTTTACTTCAGGACAGTATGTTAGAGAATGACATATGCCACACAGTAAGTGTCTGTGTTGACTTTAACGCCAGGGACACAACACATACTTGTGTGATTATCACTTATGGTGATACACTTTGTTCAATGTTTTCAACTGTAAAACACTGTCATAATCCATGCAATTGATCAATGCATTTTATCATCACTGATTAAATCCCATCATTAAGTAAAATTGAATCAGCCATGATGATGTTTAAAATGATAAGCTAATGGTCTTGTCACAAATTGTAATTATCATTTATCAATTAATGTTGAACTGATTCAAAGTACCAGTCACAGTTCCCTCTTTATGCACTCAAGTCTGTTTCCTTATTGTCACTTATGAGTTTTATTTCTCACCATAAGAATTTACTCACTATTCAACACCAATCCTTTAATTAAATATTTAACTGTTTTATTGTAAGATTGAAACAATATACGGTATAATCAACTACATAATATGGTACTATAGTTGTATTGTATAGAATTGTTTTTATTGATCATTTGACAATTAATTCTGATGATAAAAAAAAGCAGATTTTGCAGAAGTCGGGTGATCTGCTGCCTTAATACTTAATGTTCTGTAAATGATATCTCTGGACATACATAGTGTGGTAAGAACTCTCTGCTGTGTCAAAATTGAATAATTTAATAAAATCTCACTGATGTATTGATGAAGTTTTCCCTCAATTTGCTAATGATATGGTATAAAGTTTAGTGTTATATTCTTGAATTTTCTACTAAATGATTGATGTGTGTATTGTTCTATAGGATAAAGATATTTAGACAATTTTAGTGTAATCTATATCCTGTATGTTGTTCTAATGCATTAATTATTAGGGAAAGCATTTAGTTAGATTCTACAATAGCTGTACCTGTACCATGACAAATTTGATTGGTGTCTCGCTTGTAATGCAGTGTCCCTGGTTCATTTAAGTAACCTAATAATGCGGATAAAATGAGTCAAATTCAAGGTGAAAAACATTTCCCATTCCAGTTTCAGGAGAAATGCTGACTGAAGTTGTATATTAGTGGTGTATATTGTAATCACTGAATCATTAACTATGACAGAATGAGACGCAGAGCCATTCAGTTCATGTGTTGTGTGAAATTTTCAGGCTCTGAAGAAAGTTGAGGAGACATCAGCATGTCTGGTTGAGGAGCTGGATGATCCAGAAGACTGGAGTCTTAATCAAAATGGGTAGGTATAGACACTCTATAGTAATGTGATACTATTTCTGGTTTAATATACAAACCAGTGGCCTCCCACTACTTGAGGTACTGATTGGACTATTATAGAGAAACCCTGCAGGACTCATTCTGCTGAATAGTTGCAACAATTGACTTTTTTTTCTAATATTTCTATATAATTTTTCCTTTCCTTTCCTGGCTAACGATACCTATTGAGCAGTTATGTTGTAGGAGTTGTGCCTGCTGTCCCCATGATATCATAAGATTGGTTTTCTTTTCTTTTGGTCTTTGTGTTCATCAGCATCAAATGCCACACTGATGAAGGACAAATAAGCTGTATGATGCAGTTTAATTCATTTTTAGCCTGACTGTTTCTCACTCTAAGTTATAAAAAGATGCTATGCACTTGAGTGTCTTTTGTACAATTCACCCAAGTGATTTCTAATTTAGAAAGTGTATGAATTCTGTCTCCTGTTTAAGGAAGGGTGCAAATTCTCTCCCCTGATTGATGAAGGGTATGAATTCTGTCCTGGCATGGAGAAAGGGTATGAATTCTGTCCTTGCATGGAGAAAGGGTATGAATTCTGTCCTCGCATGGAGAAGGGTATGAATTCTGTCTCCTGATTAAGAAAGGATATAAATTCTCTCCCCTGATTGAGGAAAGATATGAATTCTGTCCTCTGACCGAGCTAGAGTACTAGATCAAATTCTGGAAATTTGTTAGTCTATTATCATTATGCTGTGACTCAGTGGAGTAACATACTGCTGTGTCCATGTTATGACACTTTAGAATTACAACACCTTTGATTGGCTCCATGATCTTTTTAGGCTATATAAAACCTTCAATAACTACATGTAATATTTAGCAAGAAATATTGTTAGCTGTTAACCAGAAAGGATACAAATTGTACATGATAAAATTGGCACTATAATGCTGCTCTCTCCTTCATGTCTTCTTCAGTCACAGTCACAATATCTCTTAAGATTAATGGTCATGATGTCATATGTCTAGATTTAGGGATGTATGGTTGTTTGATTTCCCTCTATCTTTGGTGACCAAGAATACAGCAAAACTAGATCCTTGTGAATATTATCAACCATACAGTAAATGAAAGTGTTTCTTTGGCAGACTCAGTTGAAATTATTTCCAGATGTCTCTGGCTGTTACAAGGATGTGAAACTCACAACATCCAGCCAATAAGCTTAAATAGATTTTTGTGTCATTAAGAGCTAGAAACATGCGAGGATAATATCATTTGTTATGAGTGGAAATGGAAATTTGTTGGAAGGAGTTTATTGTTTATATTTAAGACGATATGAAACAAAATGATGTAAGTGATTAGTTTTCTTACCTTAGTTACTGTTTTTTTTTTACTCTAGGTCATCCTCTAACTATCATCAAAATATGGTTTTTGACACCAACACACCCAAGTCTCGTAAATCCCTCAGAACGCCAAAGACACCTGGCCGTAAAACCAAGACAAACCTTCAGACTGATACTGATATGGTTACTCAAGATCCTGAGGACTACACCAGAGTTCAGCCACCTTTGCAAACAGAACCAAATCTTGCCAGGTCTACGCACCACAAAACTAAAAAAAGTTATGTGGAATATTCATCTTCTGACACATCAACACATCCTCTTACCATGCCTGACACAGCAACAAGGAAACCGCCAACATCTTCAGCTAAGTCACGCCCTCAATCAAGTGCGAAATCCCGACCTCAATCATCTGCTAAGTCACGACCACAATCATCAGCTCGGACCAAGAGTCGTCAAAATAGCTACACACAGTCACGCCCTGGTTCGAGGGCCAAAAGTCGTACAAACTCACGTATGGAAGGGTATGTGTCATCTAATTAATCGTTAACGAATCATGACAATTTATCAGATCTGAATCTTCCGAAAGTTTCATGTATTGCTTTCCTTACTTTGATATAGGACATGTATTATTCAATGAATTTTTCCTGATGGCAGAAATATTGAATACTCTAATCCTAGTTTCTTACATGTGAGATTTACTATTGCAAATTTTGTGTTAGAAGCAATTTGAATTTTTACGATGGAAGTAATAATGATGATAATAGTTATCTGTCATATAGTCTGCCTTGTAGTAAGGTAGTACTGCTAACTTGTTATGTTGAAGAAATAAGAATGTCAGTTTTCATAATGTTAACAGTTATAGATTTTGAAAACATTTGTCTTGTTATAACAAATGAAGTGTAACTTTTCTCAGGAGTGATAGATATGTTTAATTTTATGGAATTTGAAGTGTATGACATGTCCATTAATACATTTGTATCTGTCTTTAGAGATGGTGTCCTTACTAAGGGACCCAGTCAGGGGTTGCTGCAGGTCGCCATGATGAACCAAAATGACATTTTAGGGGACAGACAGAAAAGCTACAGCTCAGCGTTTAATGAATTCTTTATGTTAGGTGTACAACCTGAACAGACGGAGAGAACAATGACACCATCTAAACATAAAGACAGTCGTACCGAAAAGGTCAAGGTCAGCAGCCAGTGTAAGTAACTACAGTCAAGGTCTTTTGATATTGATGCAAAGGTCGGTGTTAAATATGTTAAGATTTACAGCTCTCCTTGGAAGTAAATAATTATGTAAAAATAAAATAAAATAAAATGAAGATTTTATTCCAAATCCAACGATGAATGGTATTTGATATTTAAGGAACTTATGCCATATTTGTGTTAAAGTGTATCAGATGGCCCCTCGCTCCTGGCGACCTGACAGTAGTCTAGCTGATACAGTGGACACAGAGACTGTACAGAAAGACAGTGATGCCATTGAGATGGTTGAAGCCACCACACCTGTTCCCCTTGATATCACCGACCAGCCCAACCCTCTGGACGTTGGAGGCCGCGCCAGTGTTCTATCCTTCATCAACAATGAGATGGATTGTATTACCCAGAGGGCCGAAGCCAACATGGTGTCCCTCCTTACGAAGGAGCTCTCTTTTGATGATGAGACAGAATTACAGTTGTAAGTGTATATTTATTATGATAGATAAATATGATGTTTGATTATCAGTGATGTCATGAGCCACTTGTTTGCCAAAAGAGATAATCAGGTTGCTTTCCTTCCAACGAGACTGGTTTTTTTTATTGTGAGTGAGCTGTTCAGGACCATCTCCCAAAGTTTCACCTATCTACTACAAACATATATATTTCAATACTTTATTGTTTTTTTCAGTTCTGTACTTTGTATATATCACACATTTAGCAAAGTTTTGTGAGGAAAAGCTATGCTCACCCTATATAACCTAATATTTGTTATCAAGGTGCTTTCTTTTTTCAGTCAGTATTTGACTTAGTATGCTGACTTTCACAGATTGTTTTTTTAATCCAATATTGATGCTATGGAGATTTATTGTGAAAGAAAGATGATTTTTTTTAACACAAAATGAAGAATGTTGAATGGCTTGCTCCTCTTCCATCATAGCTGGAGCTATAACATACAAATTTTACAGACAATATCCAGTACATTTATGTTACTGGTTACTACCATTATATCTACCATTTTATTGGTTCGCACAGTGGAAAAGATGAAGAAGAAGAACTAGATGACTTCCCAGATCTGCCACCCACACCCAGCAATCTGAAAGTAACCACACCCCGTCCTAGTAGTAGTGTAAGATCACGCCCAGACAGTGGTACGCCCCGTCCCAGCAGCTCTCGCGCAGTCAGTCACAGGGATACACATATTAGCAGACCAGACAGTAGATACTCAGTGAGGTCGTCAACAGTCACCCCTCGACCAGAGGATATCACCCCTCGACCAATCAGTGTCACTAGAAGGATTGCCAGCACAACTCCTCGCCCCAGTAGTCGATCAAGGTCCCAAGCTGATGGTCGGGAATCACGAGCTATAGGTAAGTACTGTTGGGCATTGGGTCAGAAATTATAGGGTTTTCTAGCTAGGTCACAGATCCAAAGGGATCAAGGCCATGTATACACAATAACTTTCTGCATGATTTTTAGATCTTGAGTGCTTTTTGTGAGCTATTAGGCAGACAGGCTATCTGTGTCTTGTTTTACATGTTAAAGTGCATGTTTCTTAGTTTGGAGCTAAATCATCTTTCAGTTTTTAGTAGAAAACAACATCTCAAAGTCATTTCCTATCTTATTACATTGACGAAGCAGTATGTAGATGTCAATCAGTTTACAGTGAGATGCTCACTGGAACTGCTGGGTATTCAGTTTAACGATATTGTGATACACATATCTACATACACGTATATCATACAATATATCACCTGTGGGTAATCTGGTGATGCAGGCTGTACAAATTTATTTTTGCAAAATACTTATTAATAAGAAGTCTTGAATTTATACACCCCAGGTATTCCCTCAGTGCAGGTAGCATACAGAAATCGCGGTGCACATACTCAGGGTCATAATGCCAACATGGTAGACAGACCTCATGATGTTAGACAAACGGGTGTCAATGCCTTGTGATGTTTAGGGAGACTTCAAGTCCAGGCTAATAAAGTAAAAACAGAAAATTTAATTTTTATGCTGCTGTTGATATATAGGATAAAATCACTTCCCCAAAATGCTGCAAATTGTTGGGTTTATCCAGAGATACCAATGTAACGTTTTGTTGAATGATAATAATTTTTGTATCTATATAAGATAATACTTTTGTGTCTTCTATACAGATCCTATGATACAATATAATCATTTTTATATCCTTTATTTCACAGTTGTAGACGGGGACGACATGAGTAACTATGACCTAGAAGGTCAAAAGGAGACAACCTTCATAGAAGACCAAGAAACTCTTGACAACTTGGAATGGGAGTTGGCATCAGAGACAGGCAGAGTTACAGGTATGGTATACCACAGCATTGGAAATAATAGGTGATTGTTTGGACCCTGTATATCACTGCAATGGATACAGATGTTTGTTTGGACCCTGTATATCACTGCAATAGATACAGATGTTTGTTTGGACCCTGTATATCACTGCAATGGATACAGATGTTTGTTTGGACCCTGTATATCACTGCAATAGATACAGAAGTTTTCTTGGACCCTGTATATCACTGCAATGGATACAGATGTTTGTTTGGACCCTGTATATCACTGCAATGGATACAGATGTTTGTTTGGACCCTGTATATCACTGCAATAGATACAGATGTTTGTTTGGACCCTGTATATCACTGCAATGGATACAGATGTTTGTTTGGACCATGTATATCACTGCAATGGATACAGATGTTTGTTTGGACCCTGTATATCACTGCAATGGATACAGATGTTTGTTTGGACCCTGTATATCACTGCAATGGATACAGATGTTTGTTTGGACCCTGTATATCACTGCAATAGATACAGATGTTTGTTTGGACCCTGTATATCACTGCAATGGATACAGATGTTTGTTTGGACCCTGTATATCACTGCAATGGATACAGATGTTTGTTTGGACCCTGTATATCACTGCAATGGATACAGATGTTTGTTTGGACCCTGTATATCACTGCAATGGATACAGATGTTTGTTTGGACCCTGTATATCACTGCAATGGATACAGATGTTTGTTTGGACCCTGTATATCACTGCAATGGATACAGATGTTTGTTTGGACCCTGTATATCACTGCAATAGATACAGATGTTTGTTTGGACCCTGTATATCACTGCAATGGATACAGATGTTTGTTTGGACCCTGTATATCACTGCAATAGATACAGAAGTTTTCTTGGACCCTGTATATCACTGCAATGGATACAGATGTTTGTTTGGACCCTGTATATCACTGCAATTGATACAGATGTTTGTTTGGACCCTGTATATCACTGCAATGGATACAGATGTTTGTTTGGACCCTGTATATCACTGCAATTGATACAGAAGTTTGCTTTGACCCTGTATTTCACTGCAATGGATACAGATGTTTGTTTGGACCCTGTATATCACTGCAATGGATACAGATGTTTGCTTCAACCCTGTATATCAAAGTGATGAATATCTGATATGGCTATCTAATGTCAGTGAAGATATCTTGTCAGGATCCTAACACAGATATCCAAATGTCAATAAAGATATCTTGTCAGGATCCTTACACAGATATCCAAATGTCAATAAAGATATCTTGTCAGGATCCTAACATAGATATCTAAATGTCAATAAAGATATCTTGTCAGGATCCTAACACAGATATCCAAATGTCAATAAAGATATCTTGTCAGGATCCTAACACACATATCCAAATGTCAATAAAGATATCTTGTCAGGATCCTAACACAGATATCTAATGTCAGTAAAGATATCTTTTCAGGATCCTAATACAGATATCCAAATGTCAATTCAGATATCTTTTCAGGATCCTAACACAGATATCCAAATGTCAGTAAAGATATCTTGTCTGATTCCTAAGTTTCCACTATCCCTCAATCGCCCTGCATACCGGGTGGTATCCGGACAAGGGATAAATTGAACGTACCAAACCTCCTTTATAGTAACGGCATTGGCTCTACCCTTGGATCTATGTTGTCTGATTCCTAATGCAGATATCTAAATGTAATAAAGATATCTTGTCTGATTCCTTATACAGATATCTAAATGTCAGTAAAGAACATTGTATAATCCTAAGGAATAACATGTATTGTTTTCAATATAACTAAGGTATGATGCCACTTATAAGGGAACACTTGTTTGAGAATTAGTTTTACCCAATACTACCTTTGTTTCTCCAGCTGATGGTAAGCTCTCTCGAATGGAGTTGGAGGATACAGGGAGCAATGAAAGCATGGACAGTGTCCGCTCCTTTAGTCGAATGAGTCAACAGGACCAAGGATATGACATTAACTCCAGACTACGGTAGGTTTAAAGGGTGTGTGATTGTCTCATTCAAAAGCTATGCGCAATGGTTGAAATGTTATGTAAATATTTGGTCAGGGTTCAATGGTTATGTGAATGTCTGATGAGGGCTGAAAAATCATATTTATATGAATATTTGGTTAGGCTGAAAAGTCATGTAAATATTTCATCAAGTTTGAAAGGTCATGTGAAAATCTCATAATGCTTAAAGCTATGTATCGAATAAATCCTATCAGTATCAAAAGTTAAAGAACAAGAGCACAAAAAGTTCAAAGGTAATACATATTACAAGGATATGTACTCTTTCAGAACCTTCCCCAACCTTTTTACTTTATTTGAAAAAAAAGTATTGTCAAATTATGTGCAAAGAAGTTGTATTTCTAAATCGATGAAACAAGCTAAAGTATTGTTAAATTTGTAATGCAGGTTTTTCTTGCTGAAAATCTTGGGTACCAAGTGTTGTCTTACTGAAACACAGGTTCACTTGCTTCTCTTCAGATAAAAATAAACGACATTAGAGTAATATTTGTATCATTAAACTTTCCAGGGAAGATGAACTGACAGATGATGGTGAAGATGAAGATGATTTTGAAGATGAAGAGAATGTAAGGGCTCTCCTCTGAGTTGAAAGATGCAAAAAAGGAGGAAGGACTTCAGAGAATGAAAGTTTGAAATAAACTTCAAAGGAAATCTTGATACCAACTCCGAGGAAATCTTGATACCAACTCCGAGGAAATCTTGATACCAACTCCGAGGAAATCTTGATACCATCTCAGTGGAAATCTTGATACCATCTCAGTGGAAATCTTGATACCAACTCCGAGGAAATCTTGATACCAACTCCGAGAAAATCTTGATACCAACTCAGAGGAAATCTTGATACCAACTCAGTGGAAATCTTGATACCATCTCAGTGGTAATCTTGATACCAACTCAGAGGAAATCTTGATACCATCTCAGTGGAAATCTTGATACCAACTCCGAGAAAATCTTGATACCAACTCAGAGGAAATCTTGATACCAACTCCGAGGAAATCTTGATACCATCTCAGAGGAAATCTTGATACCAACTCAGTGGAAATCTTGATACCAACTCAGAGGAAATCTTGATACCAACTCAGTGGAAATCTTGATACCAACTCAGTGGAAATCTTGATACCATCTCAGTGGAAATCTTGATACCAACTCCGAGGAAATCTTGATACCAACTCCGAGAAAATCTTGATACCAACTCAGAGGAAATCTTGATACCAACTCAGTGGAAATCTTGATACCATCTCAGTGGTAATCTTGATACCAACTCAGAGGAAATCTTGATACCATCTCAGTGGAAATCTTGATACCAACTCCGAGAAAATCTTGATACCAACTCAGAGGAAATCTTGATACCAACTCCGAGGAAATCTTGATACCATCTCAGAGGAAATCTTGATACCAACTCAGTGGAAATCTTGATACCAACTCCGAGGAAATCTTGATACCAACTCAGTGGAAATCTTGATACCAACTCAGTGGAAATCTTGATACCAATTCAGAGGGAATCTTGATACCAACTCAGAGGAAATCTTGATACCATCTCAGTGGAAATCTTGATACTAACTCAGTGGAAATCTTGATACCAACTCCAAGGAAATCTTGATACCAACTCCGAGAAAATCTTGATACCAACTCAGAGGAAATCTTGATACCATCTCAGTGGAAATCTTGATACCATCTCAGTGGAAATCTTGATACCAACTCCGAGAAAATCTTGATACCAACTCAGAGGAAATCTTGATACCAACTCCGAGGAAATCTTGATACCATCTCAGAGGAAATCTTGATACCATCTCAGTGGAAATCTTGATACCAACTCAGTGGAAATCTTGATACCAACTCAGAGGAAATCTTGATACCAACTCAGTGGAAATCTTGATACCAACTCAGAGGGAATCTTGATACCAACTCAGAGGAAATCTTGATACCATCTCAGTGGAAATCTTGATACTAACTCAGTGGAAATCTTGATACCAACTCCGAGAAAATCTTGATACCAACTCCGAGGAAATCTTGATACCATCTCAGTGGAAATCTTGATACCAACTCAGAGGAAATCTTGATACCAACTCAGTGGAAATCTTGATACCAACTCGGAGGAAATCTTGATACCAACTCAGTGGAAATCTTGATACCAACTTCGAGTAAATCTTGATTCCAACTCAGAGGAAATCTTGATACCAACTCAGAGGAAATCTTGATACCAACTCAGTGGAAATCTTGATACCAACTCAGTGGATATCTTGATACCAACTCCGAGAAAATCTTGATACCAACTCAGAGGAAATCTTGATACCAACTCAGAGGAAATCTTGATACCAACTCAGAGGAAATCTTGATACCAACTCAGTGGAAATCTTGATACCAACTCAGTCGAAATCTTGATACCAACTCAGTGGAAATCTTGATACCAACTCCGAGGAAATCTTGATACCAACTCCGAGAAAATCTTGATACCAGCTCCGAGGAAATCTTGATACCATCTCAGTGGAAATCTTGAGAGCAACTCAGAGAAAATCTTGATACCAACTCAGTGGAAATCTTGATACCAACTCAGAGGAAATCTTGATACCAACTCAGAGGAAATCTTGATACCAACTCAGTGGAAATCAAGCCTTTCCTGTTTAGTAATCTATATTGAAGATATATGGATGTGATAGGAAAGATATAACACTAAGGAAAATCTTAACCATTTGCATCACAAAAGTTTTGTTATGAAATTGTTTTATGGAAACAGCGTTAACGTACCAGTTCATACAATGATTTTTACAAGGCTAACTGTGAAATACTGTACATCAGATTTTTTTGTGCATATCTGATGCATATCTGATGTTTGCAAATTTTGCGACACTGTCAAATTCACAAAAATCAAAATCATAAAATTTGTCTTTTCCTGTGATGTACAGTTAGTTGAACTTAGATTGTCAAAGGACATCTGTGTTAACTTTATAATTCAATAGTAGAATTGTTGTAAGCATGGGTATTGTACCTATAGAGTAGATACATCCAGTCAATATACTGTATTAATGAACAGAATGATGACTGTAATCTGACAGGACTTATAATTGTAATCAAGATCTGTGGCAACAGTCCCCTTCCATGTTCAGCAAAGTGATTTGTCACCAGATGATGGCTTCTGCCTGGTGATATAACACAGGATAAAACACAAATTGAAACCTTTCATCTTTATTTATTCCATAGATTAGTAAAATCATCATATGAAAACCATATATGTGTACATGCATCCTTGATAGGGGTAACACTCACTTTGAACCCCTGGAACATGTCATGGCACAATTGAAGGTAGAAGCCAAGTAAATTGATTGGTTTACAGCGGGTTTCAGGAGAAAGAAAACTAACCAATCACAGACTGATAAGCTCATTTGAAAGTAACAAAAGAGCAACACCAAACTTCAAAGGCAGTAGGACATACTGTTATGTGACCTGGAGATTGGTTTGATTTACATCAAAGGATCAAACTAGTCTTTTTGTCTTACCCAGAAGATGTTGCCCGAAAAACCTCCAATTTTACCATGAAATGTTTCAGGGGTGCAGATAGCAATAGTGAACATTACCCCTGGAGTAATAAGTTACGTCACTGCCCATTACATCGACCATTTACTATTGTTTTTTTTGTTTGTACTAGATTTGTGTGATGGAAGCAGTTGTCTGGTTTTGTGTTGTATAGTATTCTGCTGTTTCTCACTTTTGCTAGGGATTTTATTTCAGTAATTTCATGAGATAAAAAGTGAATGCCAGTGCTTTGAAAACATTTTACTGTGTTAAGATACAAAATGAGAAACGGATACATTTATACCCAACGTGTGCATGGCAGGGTTTAGGTTGTGTTTTTTTTCATAAGAAAAAGAATGACAGGATGAAATGAAAGTGTTTGAAAATGTTTTATTTCTCGGTGAATAACTGCACAATGTAACTCTGAGGAGGTCATTTCCTTTATTGTTATATGTAATGTGTTGTTAGGAAATTATTGTACAGAGACTATATGTGATGTTACAGGATAGCTAGGTAAGAGTGTGTCTTTTGTTCAGGTGATATTTTTCACCCATCATGCTACTCCACAGTGTATTGTGTAAAGTATTGTTTGCTATTCGGTCTGTATTTGATGTTGAGGTTTTAGTTTTCATGATCATATTTAACACATTCAGGAATTATTTATTATATCTTACTGTTTAAAGTAAATAGTAAACAAATCAGAAACTCACTATTTTCACTAGAAACTTATGTCTATTAAGTTGTTATTTCTGATGTCATTGAATATGTTATATTGAGGGCCTCACATGAACAATTTGAAATCAAAACTAATGGACTTTGAAGCCATCTAAGACATTTCTATTTGAGTGAATGTTGAGCTTATAGGAAGCATTTGATAAGTTTCCAAAATCTCAAAATTAACAAATTTCAGTATTTTGTTTTTCTATTAACAAGGTATTCTTTTGCAAATGATTATGAAAACAGACTTTCGTATTCCAAATTAAAATCTCAAAAGATTCTGCAATATGTAAACTCCATCCTCCACTTTTTGTAAAAAAACCTAAACAGAGTATGTAATAAAAATAAACCCATATATGTGCTAGGAAGTTGCAGACCATAATATCTTATCCAGGAATTCTGTAGATCTATTTTTATTTATCTTTTGTTATTAACTTTACCGGTCAGTGAGAGTGCATCAAGGATGATTTGATTAATTAAGATATTTACCTGGCTAAAATGGACGGCTTAGATCTGCACATTATTATGATACTATTAATCAGTATTATATTCCAGCAAACACACTACTTTTCTTCACCTTTTATACTTGTATGTATTGAACCTAAAGAAGTCTAATGTATTTACACACATGCTTACTAATTTGTTTTTCAAAATTTCTTCTCAAAGTTATATTAGTTTTTATTTATATTGATATATGAAACACATGGGCTGTTATGGATTCTCAAACATGAAAATAAAGTATAGAATTGTATATAATGGCGTTTATTGTGAGTCTTGTGAGTAAAAACTGTGTATAATGGTGTCTATTGCGAGTCAAAGTTGTGAGTCAGGGATAATATCAAACATCAACAGGTGTAACACTCAAACCAGGTTAAACCTGGTAACGAGACATTTCCCTAGTCATGCTCTTTTGATATTGTGACTGGACCTGACTGATGGCCATCTTGGATTTTGACTATGAAAGGATTTCACCGTATCTTGACAGGTACTCTATGGATCTTTCTCATATATCACATGTAAGTTCTTCTTTGTCTCTAGTAGTCTTGGGCTTTCACTAGAAAAAATGTTATTTGCTATACTTTGACAAATACTAGATAAATATTTCTCAAATTTCATTTGTAGTTCCTCATGAGCCCTTTTCATTTTGGGTCATATCTGGAAAAAGTGACTTATATTTCGACAATGAAAGTTTGTTACCACTATTTCCAGACTAGAACTGGCTGTAATAATGTAGGTTTACTATTGCTAGTTCCTGGAAGTGTTGGATAGATCTTCTCAACTTTATTATAAGGATTCCCAACGGTACCTAGTTTTAAGCATGGTCAGAAAAACTAAATGATTGACATGCTGCCATTTTGGATTTCGACTTTGAAAGTTTGTTAAGGCTGTTTAGATTTTTAAGCGAAATCGTCAGATTGACCAAGAGCCATCATGTTTTATCCGACATCGTACGACATGAGTAAACTTTTTAACACACATTTTAAACTTCTCAAGTGTCAACAGTGGGATTCTACTAAACTTGCCAGAAATGATCTTGAGATGGTTCTGACGAAGTGTTGTTATTTTCTTGGCCAGTCCGAAATGTGATGTGGCCGCCATCTTGAAATGCGAATTCTAAACTTTGCGTTCTGCTCAAGTTTCAGATGCTTTTATACTTTTATACATGTCATTGGTAGATTCTGAGATAAATCTTATAACAAAATTCACTTTTACAGTTGGTATCCTCACGGAGAAAGTTTTTCAAAGTTTGGCCGTAGAGGCTAAAGTTGGATTTTGACGATTTTTCTGACGTCTTTGAAAAAATGTCTTACCTTGAAGGGATGGAGATTCAAACTTAGGATATTTGTATTCAGGCAGCATTACAGTTGTTAAATACAAGGCAGTTAAACGATATTTGGAATAGCTATCATGCATGCCCTCGACTTGGTTAGTAACTGTTTATCCGCGTCTCCATGATTTATCATATCACTAGGCGTTTTCAAGCCAACGAAAATGTCAGTGTTTATGACATCCTCTTTGGCGCTGATGTCCACTAGTGGCGGGATTTCCATGGAGTTCTGGGAGATCCCTTTCAGGTTCCTTTAATAGAATCTTACTTTCTCAAGTGTCACTTGCCAGTCAATATTGTTGTTTTTTCATGCACTTTCAATACTGAACGATGATGAAATATTTAGGAATAATGAGTGAATGAATGAAGTCAAATGAAATGTCTTGTACAGCTTAACCGAAAAACAAAAAGATAAAATGGAAAGATAGAAAGGAACCGGAAGTAGAGTATTTTGTTAATGACGCCAGTGACAATATTAAGATAAGTTAGTGTTTGTTTCCGGTACAGATCATATTCACGGAATGGACCATGTCTCAATATGGAAGACTGAACTCTATCCAGCAGCGTACCATATTGGCTACATCGAACATCACCTAACACTTTACATCGAACCTCACATGACACATTACATTCAATTAAGAGAGCGGACGTAAACACGAATGAGAGATGTAGCGATTTAACAATTGATACACCAAAATATTCTAGAAGCTGTCTACCACCTGTAACCTTGAATCTTGAACAAAACAAACACGTGATTACCACATTTCAATACAAATTTAGAATCAGATAGAACTTAACGGCAATTTACATCTATTTGTAACTTTTCGAACCCGTTGTTGATGTTAGGACCTAAGTGAAGATCTTTTCTAATATTTGTAACAATTATTCCATTAAATCAGCATTTATTCTTTAATACAGGACAAGGTAAGGTCTCCATGGGTATGATGAGACTGAAACACCAGTGCATCAAATCGCACAAACTGATCTCTGATACGTTAGAACAATGCATCATGTGAAACATGTCTATGAACGGTAAGAAAATGGTGAATGTGATTTGGAAAGTTTGAAAAGGATAAAGAAATACAGACGTGTTTGCTTTACACTTCGGTTGGTCTAGAGTTGGGTTAAGGGGGGAAACTAACCAATCACAGTAGGATAGGCTTCTTTGCAGATAACAAAAGAGCGACACTCAACTTGAAAGCCATTACAACATACTGTTATGTGACCTCGAGATTCGTATGGTGTTCATCAAAGTATCAAACTAGGCACCGTAAGTGGTATTTTGAGTTTTGTCATGAATTGTTCCAGGGGTCCAGAGTTACTGTGAACGTAACCCATTGAGTATCCCTTACACTGCACGAATTCTTCAGAATACCGAAATAAAACACATCCCTGTCAACTGCGAATATCATGATGAATTCTAGATTACAAAGAATATATTTGTTAAGATAAGACATATCGAAATCAAAATTCAAAAGGAACAGTTTGCTTACGACGCCGTCCAAGACGTGGAAAAGATTGAAGAAGCACAAAAACAATAAGACCGAGTGTTCCGGAAGTGTAAGCGTCTTCCATGGAAATTTTAGTTAATTCACATAACAAACGAGACACAGATGTATTACAACACCACATCTGTCTATTTTTTTCAAATGAGACCATGATGGTTTCTCTGAAGCGTTTGACATATCTTCTTTAATCTGCCTTTCTCAAAAGCCTGGTTTATATGTTTGTCCGGCTGCTGTTGAATTAGATCGATCAAGGAAATCGTGATATTGGGAAACTTTTGTTCATAATTGAATCTGCTGTGGCAAGTTAGCACCATATTTTGTGGGAAGTGGTATTCGTTCAGATCAGGGAAAATTAAATCATTATAAAGCATATTGTAAAGCTGTTTTGCAAGTAGTATTCGACGTTATCCTGTTTCTGTCGAGCTGAGTAATATATACACAGTAGACACAGCATTTGCATGGAGCCACTGAAACGCGATATTTGTCGACATTTATGAGTTACACAACCTTAAATCACGTGTGGTAAATCTACAACCAACACACTGGGCGCTTTATCTGGGCTTTACATTTACAAACGTGCGCTCTGCACAAACGTGTACGGATTTGACAAGATATGAAGCTGACTGGGATATGTGGAGTGACATTTTAGCTGATACAAGTAAGGGCACTTGATCGATACAAACGCCTATGTTTTCTGTACAACTGGTCTGCAGACAGCTATTTGTATAGTGAATAAGTTTGTATGATTTATGTTGATTTATATATAGCCTTGAGATATCATCTCACATTTGTTCTGTTACATTGTCATCTCGCCATTTCCCCCAGTTTACTGGTAAGTCAGGGTCATTATTCCCTCTGCTCAGGGTGGATAGGCCAACAACGAACTGCACTGTACCGGTTCGATTTTGTATCCACTCTTGGTAAGTCAGCACCCTTTTCTTTCTGTGGCAAATAGGCTTACATCATCCGCATGTTTACATTGTTATCACTTCAGCGTTAAGTCCGTGTCATTCTCCTTCTGAATTCATAGGCATACACTGAAGACTGTACTTTAGCTGATTAGATAGGGGGCATTCAGGTAAGTTATCCCGATGCAGACAACACCAGGTTTACCTGAATACATTCGTTGTGTATTCATCTGTTCAACTTACCAAGCAGATCTAACAAAATATGTTGTTTATCATCAAAACCAGTATAACCACTTAACAACGTCATTGATTCTAAATATACTTCTGTTTATTTACGTAAAAAATTTAAGATATTGAGATGTAAATATGGACTTGCTTCAATAGTAGACAATATAGTTAGATGAATCAGTTTATTTGTGAAATATCTTTTCGAAATTCACTTCACTTTTGAATGACCTAGATATATCCTAACGACAGAATAAAATAACACCGTTGATCATCTCTCAATTTCATGCTTTTTATCATGAACAAATTAGATAATAATTTTAACGTTATTAAGGTGCTTTTTAAATTTATTTCTAACAGGTGAAATCTTTCGGTGTGTAATATGAGGATTGCTATATTTGGAGCGACAGGCCCAAGTGGACAATTTGCAGTCAAAGAGGCGCTTGATAAAGGGTACTACGTCACTGCCCTTGTACGGAATCCTGGGAAGCTAACGACTAAAGATGATAAACTTAAGGTTGTGTGTGTTACGGATGAATTTTCCTCTTAAGTTTCGTTTAAAGCACGAATCAGAAATGTTATGTAAAGGACCATGGATTTCTCAGTTAAAATCATTTTCAAAGTATTTTATTTTCCTATCTTAAAAATCAACGAAAAATAGAGCCGCTTGGAAATAACAAATTTTGTTGTAGTTCTTGTGAATGATGACATCCGCTTCCTTTTCTTTCACACTACTACACAATAATACTGTACTGGGCGAACACATTACTCAATTAAACAAGCCCACAAAAAAAGATTTTTTTAACGTTTTTAGTATTTGATTTGACTTTTAACCGAATCCGTTGGTTTTTAACAGAAAAAAATGCCAAAACTATGTAGGTATTTATTTATGTAAATGTCACTTATGATTGCCATTGAGAGGAAACAAAACATTTAAATACATTTTGTAAAACAATTTACAATTCCACCTTTTCTCTTGCTTTAGATAGAGAAAGTCGACATATTTAAGCCTGAGGAGGTCGGACCACACCTTAAGGACTGTGATGCAGTGGTGTCCTGTCTTGGAACACCACGACAAGGATTCCTTGGGTGGTCCAAAGTGACATTCTATACAGATTCAATGAAGAGCATCGTGAACGCAATGCGGACATCCGGTACCAAACGGCTGGTGTGTCTTACCTCTATAGGAACAGAAAGTATGCTGCACTCTATGAGTCAATGTGTTGACCACAGGGACGGGGGTGTACTGTCGATCATAGGTTACTCTATATATAAATAGTAACCTATGGGAGATCTGCAGTAGGCTCTCCCTCCCTCTCTCTGTCTGTGTCTCTCTCCCCCCCCCCCCCCCCCCCCCCCCCCCTCTCTCTCTCTCTCTCTCTCTCTCTCTCTCTCTCTCTCTCTCTCTCTCTCGGGGTGTACTGTCGGTCATGGTCAGTGTCTTAAAATATATGCTGTATACACATAGTTCCAAACCTTATCTAATATAACAGCGATTTCATGAATTTTCACAGATCGACAATATTACAACATGTAAAATGGCTTATTTCAACAACTTTCATTATTTCTAAACGTGGTGTTACGTAAACTCAGAGAGTAATTCTGTCGAATTACCGTACGTGCTAAAATACCGTCATTGTCGAACACATCAACAAACAGGTTTGTTGGCCACAATTTGTCAAACATTAAAGAACGAAATTTATTGATATAAGTAATAAACAAAATAATGTTATGCAACTGATTGTTTTTTTTTTTCAGAAGTGCCTGGAAGTCCGTGGGTGGTTGAGTGGATATTCAGACCCTTATTAATAGGTAACATTCTATCCGACATGGCCGAGATGGAACATTATCTGAAGGATCATTGTTCAGACCTCAGTTATACTGTCGTACGACCGTCAGGCCTAGTTGACGGACCTAGCAGTGGTATGTTTGTCTGATTACAATATTTCATTATTCGTTATAGGTATACCAATGTAGAAGTGGCAGATAGCGGAAGTTTGAGACCGAACAGGGGCAGAATATGTTTTTCATTGTTTTTTCTTTAACTTGGGTTCCGTTACCTGATAAAGAAAACTGCACTATAGAAAATAAACCACATCCCGAAACCAATAGTGTTGTTTTTTACAAGTCAACAATATATAACTACAACTTAAAGACTATTTTCATAGTATAGAAGACTTAATAGAAATGTGATATTTTGTTTGTAACTCGCAGACAACCTTACAACAAGTGTTTCGGGGGATGCAGGTTGATGGAAGGATAAGGGAAGGTTTACAGTCTCTAATGATCACAAATAGAGAAATGTGCTACATCCTTATACGATATTACGTTGGTGATAATTTGAGCAATAAGCCGGTTTCAAGTTGTCTGAGGATTGTTTACAAACAGCCTTTAAGGAGATCGATTTATACTTAAATGTCTTAAATATCCTAATATCTGTGATATGTGTGGTATATTTGTGATACAAAAGATATTTCAAACCTGTATATTCGTGTTACATAAAGATTATGGTTCTTTAGGGTTGAATTTTGTATCAGTCCTGACTTGAATTTTCCATGTTTGCACTGACACTACAGTCGAGGTTGATTTATTTTTATAGATGTACGTGTTAAACATGTACATATGTACCACAAACTGAACTCGGGTATGAATGTATCAGGCTATACAATTGTTACAACCATACAACCAGCTGACCTAACGACCTTTGTAACCCCTATCTTCATCTAGTGGTCAGTTATCATAACTAGTGGTAGGTTTAGTCATATTGTCTTGTGTAACGCATACAGCTTGTGATATCACTATAACATTGTATTTGTCTCGTCAGAATTGTCTAATACGACCTCTGTTTATTCTGACTTATCAACAAGCAATATCGTCATGCCATTTCTTGTGTAACTGTTATTTTAAAATGACCAGTACGTTGTAGAATCTTGTGTCATGTTTATTTCTTGCGTTATTTCATTATGTGAAAAAGAATAATGTACAATATTGTAGTGGCTTTGTCGTGTGTACATCAAAAATACACAAGTACATTTTATACTAGTTAAAGGGTTAGTATCGGTAAACAGTTTAAATGATGAGAACAATCTTTATTAATAGGACGGTAACATAAAAACAATAAAGTGAAAAAAACCAGTACTTGATTGATCTGATGTCTCATATTTTTCTCATATATTGTGATGATGCAATACCCTGATTACAATAGCTGATCATCCTTTTATGTGATCTTCTGCAGGTAAACAAATACAGACCGAGGAAAACCAGTTTGTGACAGGAGCAGCAATTTCAATGCCAAGAGCAGATGTTGGAAAGTTTGTCATTGACTGCGTTCAGAAGGAAAGCTGGCTACAAAAGTTTGTAGCCATTGGTCTGCTACCATGAAGGACATTTGTGTTATTCGGGTCACTGCGGTATCTTATGTAGTGTATCATGCAAATTTCAATTCAATTCATGTTTAACGTATTTTCTCTTACCTCACCAAGTAGACACGTGGTGATGTATCGGAACACTACTGTTTTTACAACTGGTTTATACAGAATATTTATACTTTGTCAATTGTAATGCTGAAATACATTAAACTTGTCGATTAATATGTATTAAGATATTAAAATGATCTTATGGACTTTACCCTCCAGAATATACATGGAAATAAGATATACTTTAAGAGGAAGACGGCTTAAAACCTCCACCTCCCCACCTCAATTATACAGGGGCTTGCACATATGACGTCTTTATACAAGCAGAAGGATACCATTATCATTCCTCGCACCTGCACCAGTGTACGTCAATATATTTGGATTTTTAACAGGAAATCACCAATCCTCTCTGAAATCATAAAGTGATGTTTGTTTTTTGCTGGTTACCATCTATATATATTCTATCACTGCAATTATGACGTAATTACCTAGACACGTGTATGGGTTTGGATTTTAGAACAAAGCCCGTATCTGTTGACAATTATCCCTAAATACTTTTTTGTTCTGCATGAAAAAAGAAGCCTTGAGTAACAAAAATATATTTTATTGATCTACAAACAAGACATGGAATGCATACAATAAATCACAGATATAGCTTAGTAATTACTGCCTTCTCTACAACAATATGGTGGATATTCCAATGTTTTAAGTATTTCAAGCTTTAAAAAAATCACAAAACAAATTGATGATTGGATATTTGAAAGTTGCCAGTGGTAGTTCAGTGTTTAACTAACGAATAAAAATTATTTTGCATGGTTTTATTGTGAAAATGACTAAACAATAACCGATAATTTAACCACCTTAAAGTTATTGTTGATAGCTCATGGCTGTAAAGCTTTTACGAGGGTTTTTTATCCTCCTATATAGCTAATAAATAGTCCGAAAGGTTCTGACTATAAGAGCGCGATTCTAACTTTGTCTTGGTGGTGAACAACTAGTCAGAACCCTTTTGACAGGCTAACAAGCTATATGGTGTTATGAATATTTGCATATTTGCATAGTTGATAAAAGCTTCCGCATACACTGAAAACAATGGCACGCTTTAACAAAATAAAAAGCAAACTGTGATAGCTATTACTTATTCGTACTATACTGAAGATACTAGCATCGGTAGTGACTGGCTGCTTATTCGGATACTGAAAACTTATTTCACTTATTTACATACATGTAATGCGAATATCTGAATTATTTATACACAACCTTGATAACTTTAAACATTGCCTGTGTCTATGTGTACAATTAAACAATTGATTTGACAGAATTTGTCTTTTGGCTCTATATATTACCAAGTATGTAACTATTCTGTTTTATCACGTTAAAGTTATTATATAAATAGCAAATTTAAATGGTCAGGAATTATGCACTATTTACGTATAATGATAACAATGATAAACGTTTTAATACACGAAGTGTATAACAATTAATAAGTTATATCTTAATGTTAACACAGCAAACAATCAGGCAACTACACAATAATCATTTATAAAACTTGGAATTAGTCTTGCTTTTGTTTTTAACAACTCCTAAACTTCTCTAAACATTTACTTGAACTATTACTACTTAAGAATTATACATCTATTATAAATCTACAAGAAAAGCATTAGAACATATGAATATGAAGCGAACGCAGAAAATTACAGGAAACGTTTATAACAATCTCAATATGTTCAGTATAGACTGGCGTAGAGAGGGATGAAAATGGCTTAGAATATAGCAATGAAGATTGATAAGAGTTGAAGGGGATAGGAAGGGTACTTGGATTTCATATCCCAAAATATATTACATTTCATCATTTATGTTAACCTGAATAAATGTAATCATAGTTTTTAAGAATATCATCTTTTGGATAAACATTGTACCCAGACTGTAATTGACGGCCATTACTGAAGTAGTCTCTTCCTCCGTGACTTTCAATCGACACACTTCTTACATATTCATGATACCCTTCCTTAGCGAGCTTTTCCTGGATAACATAAGGTCGTGCTGTTCCAGACAGTCCTTTCTCTCGCCTTAATGTAGGGTCCGACCTATTTATGTACAAAGCGTACCCAGAAGCTCCCAGAACGAGCACAACAAACCCTGCAATTGTCCCAACAATGATGTAGATTTCCTCAGTTGTTAGAGGTTTTGCGCCAATGTCAGGGTCCTCTGTTGGTGTTGGTGTAGTAGAAGAAGCAATGGTAGTATTGGCTGAAGGAGTGATGGAAGTTTTTGTAGTAGGAGTACTGAAAGTATTTGTAGTAGAAGCGATAGTAGAGGAAGGGGTATTTGAAGTTGGAGTGACACTTTGATTTTTGGAAACAGTGGATATTGAAGAAACCACTGTAGTACTCGGCGATGTAGTAACGATTGACCTCGTGGTTGTAATACCTCTGGTAGAATCTGAAGTTGTTGTGGTGGTCGGGGTTACAGTAGAAAGCGAAGGAGTTACTGTGGAAGTTGTACTTGGTTGTGCTAAGTCATCAAGATGAAAGAGAAAAAATAACTTCCATACTAAATGAAATCGATTGTAACATAACGAAATAAAAAGGAAAGCAACGGAGCTACAGAATATATCTTGTAAGAAGCATCAATTATTTATAGTAACAAAAGTTATCGAAAGAACACGAAGATGACACGTTTGTCTTTAACAAATATAATATATAACCACACTAAATTAGGAAATTTTCCATTATTTATAATCAGGAAAGAATAAACTAACATCAATGTTTTACCGTTTAATAAGATACAAAAAACATAAATTAGTATTACATGCAATTGTTATATTAGTATTTTGTCCTATAATACTGAGTTATGCGGAGTTTCCAAGCATGAATTGCAATCGTTATTGGCTGTTGATATAGAATCTGTATATTTATATCTGTAGCTTTTTATATCTGATTACTGGGCATGCATATTAAGGTAAGAAATATCACTGTTGTTTTGCATAAAAATGTAACTATAAGGATTTAATCTCTTTCCTTTCATTATTACCCTTATACTAGATTCTTGCTGTTTACTGGATAAATACACGATCTATTTCGGTCTATTACCAAGGTAAACTGATACAATTTTCACAAAGAATAAAGGTTATATTTCTGTCTATTGCCTAGGTAAACTGATACAATTTTCAGAAAGAATAAATGGGATATTACTCTATATTGCCTGGGTCAACTGAAACAGCTTTCACAGAGAATAAATGGTATATTGCAGACTATTGCCGAAGTAAATTGATATAATTTTCACAGAGAATAAATGGTATATTGCAGTCTTTTACCTCGGTGAACTGATACAGCTTTGGTACAGCGCAACGCATACTTTGATTTTGTGACAGAGTATATAACAAATACTTCATTTCAACAATTTGGGTAAACAGTTTGGTAACATTTTGTCTGAGCGTGACCCATGGATTTCATTTAATTAACCGGATATACTTATAGAGAATTGAACAGGTATATTATCATTAATATTTCTTAGATCTACTTTTAATTGCTTTTTTGACAGAGCAAATATATACTATACACCGTAAAAGGATAAAAAAATCAGTTCAAGAAATGAACCTCGTCAGTAAAAGCAAGACAATGTAAGGCATGGCGTAGATACTGTTTTAAACATAACTGATAGGAATAGAATGTCATCAAACATTGAGGACGACACCGATCACAACATCTTTGTTAAAAAATATTTATCAGTTTTAAGCGTTTTTGGTATCGTTCTGTCTTTGTTGCAGGGACATGTATTATGTTGTTTTAACACTTTTCTCCTCTGTACCAATTGACGTCATAACATTTATGCCTTTTGGACATTATTTCATTTTCCTCTCATGACTGCACAATAAGTCATTTCCACAAACGTTCATACACGACTGCAATACATGATAATTATATATAAGATAACTATCTATGGTTTGCTATAATCAAGGTTTGATTATTTAATTTTATTACTCCAGCTGTACGCGGGGAAACAATTGCCTCTATATCAAATGAAGCGAAAATAAAAGGTTGAAGCTGGAATATATAGTGGCAGGTATTAGGGATGGATCTGGACACAGTGAAAGCAAACAATTTTAAGCGTGTCGATGTCTCAAGCCAAATTTCCCCGCATACATGTGCAGTACAAATTTTCGTTAGAGCTTCCAGTAACCAAATTAGATAAAAGTATGTACATATGTTGAATCTAAAATAATGTTGTGTCATCAAATAAAGCTCATGATTGAGTTTCACATACAATTTGAAATGTTTGAATTGTTTGATAATCACTGATATAGCTAACAGACACCACTATGAGAATAATTGTTTCAATTGAAATTTTAAAGCAAGCCATACTATCCTTCACCACCGTGAGCCCCTAGAGATTACGTATGGTAAAGCCAGTTGTCATTAATAATGGTCATAATTAGCAGTACACCATAAACCATGACCATGTATTCGTTCTTCTCACATCTCGTACCTGTACCTGAAAGCAACCGAATATTTATGAAAAGGTAGTAACAAAGTAAATCCTCGAATGGACAGTATTGGTAAACATTTAACCTTAGATGATGTCGTTAATGCAAGAAAGAAACTTCAAGCAAACGCATTTTCCTTGTCTTATAACACTCTTTATGGTTACTTACATAGGTTTGGATAATTAACATTTTGCATTCTAATAACAGTGAAGAAACTACACAGAATTATCATTCGTAACATAACATCAGAATTAAATATATGATGATATAGAATAAATAAACATAGAATAAGCACTGTACTTACTGGACATACAGGTGCCCAATTCGTCACTGTTATCGCCACAGTCGTCTACGTCGTCACACGTGACATTAAGAGACACACAGACACTGTTTGTGCATTTAAACTCGTCCGCCGCACACTACATTTGGACAAAACTTAAATAAGTATATATGACGTGCGCATTTTTATATATTGATTGATATGACTCATTGACGCTTTAATAACGTACATCAGGTAAAATAAGTAAACTATAAGAATTTCATTTACTGTTATTGACTGGACGATCAGTTTGGCTGTAATACAAACCTAAGTGGACGTTCAACGAACAAACATAATTACGTGTGAATTATTAGGTCCACCGCCCCCACAAAATATTTTTTTATCAAATAGATATTTAGGATTAGGAAGATGTGGCACTTCGGGTCTTTTTTCTCTAAACGATCCTGCTGGTAATGATTTATCTTTTCTTCAGTTGCATTATTTGTATGATGAAAGATAACACTTGCCGTTGTTGTGCTTGGTTGTGGAGTTGTTGTGGTGACAGCTTGTGTGGTAGTTGAACACGTATCGGGAGGAACCTTAGCAACTGAAATTATAAGTGTATAAGTATCAAAACAGATAACTGGTAATATTTAATCATCCACGTATAAATAGTTCTAACAATATGCTTGATGCGATGTTTCAGATGGCAATAATCTTTAGGTCACATGGTTAAAGAATTCGAGGATACTCATGTAGCAGTCATAAAATATATTGTAATGGCTGCAATAGATATAGAAACCATATTGTGGCCAGCACTTCATCTTGGTATAGCTTACGATTAATGAAATAGCGACAGCACCATATCATTTTACCTTGCAGCAGAATAGGCCATCGGTTCGTTCACATTCGAAATAAAGTTAAAAGTTATTTTGATTGTCTCCCTTGTACGGTTAAGTCATCAATACCATTGTTTTGTACATTTGTGAAGGTTGAATATGAAAAGAGGGTAGAAACAATCCAAAATCTCAGTCAGATGTATTACTCGTTAAAGTATTATGAAAGACATAATATAAAAAAAATTGCATTTGCATTTTATATAGTTATCAGTAATTTTATTTTAAACGCATGACAGCAGCTTCTGTAAACAAGAGAAATAAGTAGCCTATCCCTTTTTATATGATATATCTGCATTCAGATTTAAAATATAACAATAAAACCCGAACAACAACAAAAATAGTTAATGAAAGTCCTTTTTTTTATAAAGAACAAGTTGCTGAAAGCTCTTTATTATGATTTGTTATAGTAAGAATTCATCATATTTATCAGTAAGCACTGACTGAAAGAAAAAACATCAAAACTCAATGGTATTATGTGGAATATGAAAAATCCTAGATAAAAAAGACTCTACGTGTACACCCCCTTGCATAAATACACAAAAACTGAGTGTTCTAATTAAAGCACTTTATGTGTTGAAAGATTTTCAAAGTTTTGCACTCCTTAAAGATAATTGCATTTCTTGTATGTACCACATTTGTCGAAATGATTCATCTTAAGATAAGACCACTTCATAAGAATTTATACAAGAAAATAATAAGATAAGCGGCAAATACATGTTATATGAAAATTAAGTACCATAGATAAAAGGCAGCTAAGGCATTAGCTTAATTTATGTATCGGAAACACTATACAAGATATTTTTATTGTCAAATTTTTTGTTCAATAAATATACGAGTTATTTCCCCGGATTTTCTTTCCAAGAATATCTAAGAGTTATGTCCCTTGAATTAGAGGGTCATCGGTCATCTGATTAGTCAGTTACTTTCGCGCGGATGCTGAGACCCCTCTCATAACGCAGCCATCTTTAATTGTATCAATACGTAGTTCAATTAGTGGAGTGGATTTGCATTTGTTATGCAAAATTTACCCACCCACTTCCACCCTATTGTCTGTTCTATAGTAACGTTATTTATTATCAGCAATTGTGGCGGTTTTTTTGTTAACCCCACATTGGCTTTTTATTATAATTACTAAAAAATAATCTTTTGTTCATTTTACGGTTTTTGTAACTGTGAGATATGTTTTTAATTTCATAAATAAATACAAAGTCACCCTCTCTGTAAGGGTGGCCTTTTTCATTCATACTCATTGTTGTGTCGTTTCTTGTCGTAGTGTGCAGATACATAAAGGTCATTACTGACTTCATCTAATTTATAGATTTATGTTGAAATAAAGGTATGATGTTAGAGCAATTTTATGATGCTCCAATATATTTCAATCACATCACATTTGAACAAAATCAAATTATACCCATGAGGCATAGTGATGAAATTCAGTTTATCATGGAATCGTTTCGCACAAAAATTTACATATTTACCAATTCTGATTTCTTTTTCCCATTCTTGACATTAGAACTAACATACCACATAGTCCACAAGACAGGGGGCAGTCAGCTTCCATGTTAATGTTGTCCGTGACACATTTCCCTGCGGCAGCGTCATCAGCACACGTGGCACGGCTATCTTCACATGTTTCTGCCGGAAGTAGAAAACATTCCGTCCCATTAATATCAGATCTGATTTATGTGAGTTTAAATTAGTCAGAAACAGTAATTTACTTGATAAATTTACAAAGTCTGTGAAATATGTCAACTACTGTTGGAAACACGTATGGACAGATGTATTTTGATAAAGAGGATTTGGTTGTTTTACGGTTGTCAGAATTATGTTGTTCAGAAATGATTATACATGTGTGCAGTATAAGTTTGACATGTTCTATGTTATTAAGTATGTCTGTTGGATTGTTGTTATTAACACCGGATAAAAGAAGGTTTTGATGCAGTTTCGTACAAAGAAAATGTACATATTTGGTGTCTACTAATGTTCTAATAGTAACTTAGGATATTGATACTTGATTTAACAAATGATCCCGCGTCAGTGTTACAAATATGACATTTTATTGGATTAAGTTCTTATTATGTACCTCTAAGTAATTTTTCATGCATTTCATTATCCATTTGTTGTGTATATCTGTTGTTAAATCGATCTTATTCTAGATGACTTACAATCTTGCTGATTTCTGGATCAAGTATCGTGCTACTAATTTTAAAAACCATCAAGTGATCAATGTGATGAAAGCATTTTAAAGATTTGATTATTTTAAGAAAAATGTATTGATAATGATGATACTAAAGAAACACATAAGACGAGTTACGGAAAAGTCAGTTTGTTAATTGGATTCGATATTGTGTTTCCGGTTAGATTGTTATACACATAGCGTTGTTTGCATGTTATCTCTTTTCGAATCCTCGATATACGTGTGTGAATTCCGAAACGCGCCACATTTCATTATTGTACAATACATCTTTACTAGAGCGTGCGGTAAATAAAGAACTTTGAAATGGCCGATACAGCTTCTTACTTTCACAAGACGTCCCTCCATATCCATCAAGACACTGGCATCGACAGGTAGCGCTGTCAAACACTCCACAGTTCTGACAGGTGGCGCCAACACAACTCTGACATGATTGTCCCGTGTATGGTACCTTACACGTTTCGCAGACATCGCCAAATGACTGATTATTACACTGACAACCACACGTATCCTCAATAACAGTGCCCCCATTCCTACACTCTGTTTGACAAGAAGTGCTGCAGTCCAACGCTACAAATAATTAAAACTATTTTCATACAGAATTACAAATACTATTCTATTGTAAATCATTCCAACCCGTCGCCTTGATAGCGAAGAAGAACACTTTTTGTCTTGTGGTTATCTTGCAGTAGTAATTAATGATGGTAATTAAGAGCAGTTTCCATATAACAAATGTCCCCATTCTACAACATCTCAAGTCGAACATAGGCCTTGAGCGGGTGAAACTGATTACAGCCTTTCACATCATACATTTCCATACATCTAACCAAGCCATGGTCTCATATACACTATATTAACACGGAGAGCGTTCTAATGACAGCACTTTAGAATAAATCTTAATGTTTAGGTACCACTTGTTTGATGATAACTTTTACTATTACTACTCACGAAATATCACATCTTCCTTGTGATGTTGGCATGGAAACTACCGTAGTGATATATCCTTACCCAGTGATAAGATATTCTAAAATATTTGTAGACATTGCGGATTTAGCTATATAAAAATTAAAACCTGGCTAGCGTAACACTTACAATAGTAGTTGGAAGGGCAGATACATGCACACACAGAACTGTCCCATGTACCGCCGTTCTGACAGGTCCCTGTACAGCTTCCAACTAAAATAAAACATATAGTCAGTTTGACAAATATGCCTTAAACCATGAAATCCTGAAAACAATTAGATACATTGCTGAATGTTTCACACCTGAGTTCTTCTGCAAAATCTTAACAAAATAAAGATCCTAGAATCGGTAAAAGGAGAACGAGACGAGATGTAAATACTTTTTTCCCTTTCGCCAATGTCACATTCTATATGGCTGCCCAGTGAAGCTTGACCACATAAAGGAGGCCAATTACCTGATCATATTTAAAACGTATGGGCCTTTTCCCTGATTAGGCAGGCCTAGTCCAGGTTTCCCCACACTATAAGCAACCTCCTTCCATCCGGAGCAGAATAAACAATCTAGACCAATATAGAATGCTTCATACGTGCAAATTATTGCGTTTCGTTAGATAGGTTTGTGTCTCGTTTTATCTTAATACTGAGTAAAACATGGAATTCGAATGGTCACTTCCCAGGTATATAAACATTTATTGTATATTAAAAACCCACTTACCATTCAGAGGTGTAGAATAGGCATAATTCACTCCAAGATTAGGGTTGCTTCCATGGGCGTTATACTTTATTAAAAGGCAATAATCATTATTTACATAAGAATGATGATTTCAGATTAACAAAAACAAAAAACAAAAATATGAAATCAAGAGCATAAGGTCTGTAGCAAGAATAAACCGGTTGTCGTGAAAGCCAATAAAGAAAGCTTGTCATCAAACTGATATGGAATGCATCAGATGATACGCTTACTTTACCATGTTATTCTATCCCATAATCCACCTACCATATGATTAATTCGTCAATATCATATGCTTATATATTATATCACTAGTGGAATACACCATGGAGTGTTTTTAATTGACTGCACCAGTCATAAATCGATTGTGATGTTTTAATATGGAAACTGATATTACGTCATGATTTTAAAAAGCACAACAAAATGGCTGCCTGTTTGATTTTGCCCTCCATAATCAAACTTTAATAACATGTCAAAACGTGACTTTTCTGAGTTCCGTGATAAAACACCCCCTTAAAACTCATTTGAAAGTTTTAATTTTTGCTTGCTAAGGATAAAAATAAATAAATAAATGATACTTGAAAACCTTACAGTGGTTGGTAGGACATACCTTGATAGTTACGGTGTCAGTGAGGATTCCTCTTCCTATAAGGTATTGAGTGTTGAAGTAAAATGACCAAAACACGCCTGCATGGTATATAGGACTACTACCTGTGTCGAAAACCCAACTGTAGACTACCCTAGAGGCAATGACGGCCCGATTGTATTTATTCCACAACTCTACAAAGTACATCAATAACTGTATTGTAATTATTGTAAACATGGTTGATTCGGAATAAACAACCACATGAATTAATATATGAAAACATATGAAAAAATAACCCATTTTTATTATCTTCCGTGAAAGATACACCATTTTGACTTCCAAATTTTGGTAATGCATTGACAGTGATCTAAAACCAGCAAGATTAACAACATGTTATTTGTTATTTATTAAGGTATTTCTAGTGCCGTTGCTGAAGATTATGTCAGTAATCTGTTTTCCTGTTTCTTATCCCATTTTCTCTACGATACGGAGACATTTAAATCATTGTCATCATTACAATCATCCATCAGGTAAATGTCATATCTGCAGATGGTATCTAGCGAATTGTTTGCGCTGACCAGTCAAATATATTAAATCTCGAAAATGTTGGAAACGCATCTTATTATGTGTATATATAAATATTGTAAAACTTTTATTGGGTATAAGGAAAGTTAAATAAATTAAAACTACAATAGCATTGCGCCTATAAATGTACGTTAATAATCTATTAGGAACTCGTGAAGTGATTAATTTCCATACAATAATATACATACGATGAATCCCGACAAAGTGACGTCATGCAGGAAACAAAACAGACTTTTTGAATATCCTAATGTTTTTCAACATATGAAGCAATATAGAAGAAAATACATCATCTGATATCGTTACTAGTTACTACTTTCAAGTCCTGATCTCGGTTTATTATCAAATAAATTCGGATACAGAGCGTGATTTCGTATTAGTCGAATAATGTTTCAGGTTCTTAATTGTCAATTTAACAACACTTAAACGTTTTACATTAAACATTGTTGATGGTCTAGAGCAACCTATATACTAAAAATGGTAAAACAATAAAATAAGTAATGTATATAGTCTAAACTATGAATGAACGAATGAAATCAAAATTACTTACCTACATAATTATCCCCCATCTGGCTGTAAGTAAACCAGAACTGGATATTGAAGGAACCTGCCGGTAACTGAACAATTGTCACCCGAACACCTATAAAAAACATGTGTAGTTCGTGCATATATATCGTGGTAGAATATTGTTGGGACAATCACACACGATTATGCCCCTTTACAAAAAAATGTAAGCAAAACCATGCAGGTCTCCTGTTCAACTGACATCCTCTCCCTCTGGTGCCAACACCAAAAATTCTAATGGTACATAAGGGAAGTTTTCATCTTTAAAAATTGCGCACTTGTAAGTAGCCTTAACATGGAGCCCGTTTCAAATAACTCGTTTAAGAAATTCAACATTTATTCTCTTCACTCACAGCGTACAGTTTTCATCTCGATTGACTAGATGACCAGATATACATCGTGTAAAAACAAACAATTTTCACCTGAAGCGACAGCATCAGCAAACACAGAATTGTAGAAGAGACAAGTAGAGTTATCTCCACCGCAAACACCACACTGGTCATACTGTTGTCCGTTTAATTTGTTATCACATCCAAACACCTGACGGACCAGAGAGTATTGAATTAATAATGATTTAATTGGCGTATAAATATCATAAACTTTAGATCGAAATGTTAACTTTATTATAATTCTGAACTTAATGACCCCAATCTCAACGACTCCAGTACCAGAGCTACTGAGAGCGACCGATGAAACAAACAAGTGGCAATGATTATGCTAATGATGATTGTTTGATTATAGCTTTGTTTGAAACAGCTCTTGGAAAATCTTAGCCTTAGCTCAAATGATGATATATAATACAATGAAATGAGGAAAAATATCTGTATAAGAAAATGAGCATTTTGTAAAAGGCTACAAACCTGGAAGCCTGTTCTTTATATTATCTTGAATGAACACTTACTTGACAATAACCTTCGAGGCAATAGTCCTCATACCCAGGCCTACGAGGCCAGTCATCTTCATCCCACTGGTGTAGAGCCTCATTACAGGGAGATCCATCAGGCATCAGCCCGTACCTTGTGTATGCTGGGGCAGTGTATCCCGGCTGCGTGTCACATTTTACCTCACATTTACCCATTCCTTAAGAATAAAAAAATCAACATGGCATTTCAGTGTACATTTTAATTAATGACTCACAGCGTCATAAATATTGATGACATAAACATATTTCGCGCATTGACAAAAGTCCAATGATAATTCCTACGTTATAGTCCGATGACATCTTATTCGGTCTCCTTTCCATTTCACCTTTATAATTTTTTTCGATGTCTCGTCATTACCCTAGTTGGGACACTGTTCCTTTCCGTTATAAAGTGTAGCACTTATTTCGTCAAGACATATTCCTATGTACAATAAGGTCAAAAATAGTATGACGGGACGGTAAACAGATTATAGATCAAACAAATCCCAAGATGAAAACAATATACTGTTGTCAATTCGGCTACGCATCGTTTAAAACTTGGTTAATAACCTTATGTAATGAAAATGTAGACTTTGCATAACATTAGCTACCCTCACTATTATTTAGAATTCTAACTACGGTTGGATTAGAAGAGATTATGTTCAGAATCGGAAATTTTCCAAAATAAAGTGTAATAAACTGTTTCTTCTCGCCAGGGGATTATGTAAGTCCCCGGGATTATCAAATTCACCGTTGTGGTAAAGCACCTGAAGAACCTTCCATCCTTGTAAAGTATCTAACGTATCTGTGGGTTACATGTAAAAACGATTTGAAATTTTCACTCATTTTCACTCTGTCGGTCCTGCCCATTACTGATCATCCCTTAATATGTACATACCATCAAACTGTTATCCTGTACTTGTATTTCTAAACAAGTTTTGATTATATCTACATTTATCCCTCCGCTAGGGACCATAGGGGAGCAATACCTTTTGACCATCCTATAATCTAAAATGTCAGAATTTTAACTTAATTCATTTGACTTGCACAAGTTCAAGTAAAACCAGACTTTGATTTGTTCAAAATTTGAAAAAAAAAACGCATTAACTGAAATATAAGTTTCGAATTGTGCTTTTGTCGATTTCATCTGGTGATGAATTGAGTTCATTTTAATTCAATGCTTAATACAATTTCAGTTCACCATTGTAATGAAAGGTTTAAGCTGAATGTCATGGAAATCGATTTGAAAGTTTTCCGGAACAAGTCCAACTTTACGGGCGCAAGACGGACGACACCGGGAAAAAAGGGGATCAGAATAGCACGCTTGTACTGATGATCTCTATGATAGTACAAAAGACATACAAGAGAAAGGCATTTTAAGTCACCATCTATATATAATTCATCGTTCATCTATGTTAGTTCATAAACAAAAGTTTAAAAAGTAGTGAAATTATGCAACTTACTTATAGAACTGAAAACAGTTCCCACAGCGAGATAGTTTGTGCTACTAATAATCCCATACTGCAACAATCTCTCACACGTTTCAGTGGCTCTCGCCGACTTTAAAGTACCTTCATCTGAGCTGTCGCCCGAGCAAGGCTGATTCCAAATACAAAGTGTAAAAGTATTTGCAATGAATACCAATTTCAATGAATATTGGAAAAGCGGTTGCTTAAAAATCTCTATTCGAACCTATCCCATATAAATGCCTCTACAAAGACCATCATATATGCATTAAAGTTTTGATATATTTTCAATTTGTACATCATATATTTATGACGTAACCTTTTCATGAGCACTGTCAAATATTCTAGTGTTCAGCCCTTAATACTGGTCACGGCACCAGACGAGCGAGCACAAACGTTTTAATCAATACTTCAAAAGATAACGACCTGTCTCAACACAAGACCATAGCAATTATTGTTTTCACTGGACGGAAGATTTACGATTGCAACGCCTAACGAACCGCAAAAGTATAAAAGTTGCAGGTGTGCCAAAATATTGACATTCCACTCCAATATATCGAAACATATTAAATAAAGAATAAAATTTTGGTGTAATCTTAACTTTACAGTTCATCATTTTGGTACTTCATAGGTACAAATTTCATCCCACGTGTGACATTTTGTGAAACAGATAGAAATGAAACATAAGGCTATGGGTATTTAGACTGTGAAGAACGAACGGGGATTTCAAGAAGAAAAATAAACAAATGCAAATTAATGGATAGCAAGCACAGACAAGATTACCGTGGTATTGCACAGTTCTGCCTCATATTCATCACCGGAACATGTAGCGTGGTTCTTTGGTCTGAAAATGAAATGTAAACGTTGGGTTGTTGTCCATAGCAGATGTAAAGCAAACAAGACATTTTTTCTGATATAAGTGAATCATATCTAAACTCATTGTCAAGCGTTCTTGGTGTTCCGAAATCCATGTGATTTCATCGAATATTTGATTATATCATTTCAAAAACTAAAGACAGAGGTGTGTGAGATAAGGGATTTGATTTCAATACGTCATACCTAGGGTTGTTACAGATACGTCTTCTGTGCAGCATACCCGTTCCACATGTTCTAGAGCAGGTAGTCCACGAGCCCCAGTCTGACCAGCCTCCGGCCGTAACAGTTGCCCCTGTCAGTTCAGCAACCGCTAGAGTTACACAAGATGCCTTGAAACATACCTATAAAGTAGACAGGTTTCGTAAACATAACACTAAGATAATAGAATGTTTTTATAAGACTAAATAGTAAAAAAAACAAATATATTTATCACATAGCTACCCTGTTAACAGTGTAATATCACCTATTACATAGCTACCCTGTTATCAGTGTAATAGCACCCATTACAACGCTACCCTATTAACAGTTTGATATCACCTATTACATAGCTACGCTGTTATCAGTGTAATATCATCCATTACATAGCTGCACTGTTATCAGTGTAATATAACCTAATATATAGCTACCCTGTTATCAGTGTAATACTACCTATTACATAGCTACCCTGTTATCAGTGTAATATCACCCATTACATTGCTACCCTGTTATCAGTGTAATATCACCTATTACATAGCCACCCTGTTATCAGTGTAATATCACCCATTCTACCATAACCTGCTGATCTCACGCCCAGACTATCCATTAAACACCATATTCATTGTTTATTCATACGCATAATACACACGTGTATTATTGATGATAGCCAAATCTATTGGACGAGGCATTGACATTTGACCCAGCCATGATCTGTGACCCCGAACCACTTTCGCCACGTGCGATTGTTTTCATCGTCTGCTGCCCATCACCAGCATGGCTGACAGTGACGATCTGTCACTCTTACCGGCGGTCAAGATCGGTGATGCAGTAAATTGTGTGGAGGGGGAAAGGGGATAGTAATTGGTAAATGCAGTAATTTTCGTTTCCCAACATGTGATATTAGGTTGGAGACGGGCAAGGTCGTTTCGGAAACAAGATACAGGTTTGATATTTCCCCGGACCCTATCGTCACTGTCTCAACTAAGCCTACCGCTGAACCCCGCCCCATTTCCGACAATATCATCGATGGTCCAGTGTATGGAGGCACAATAAACATCAACATTCACAATAATAAATATTTCTCTCGAAAACGGCCCATGGTGATGTACAGTTCTGATGAAAGTGATTAGAAGTTCTCGAAATTACAAGCTATCTTTATCGTGTTTGCTTTCACATTTTCCCGCGAAGAAGCACTACTCTTATCCGCATTACAATCTAGTTCCAAATTATTCTTTTTTTAAGATTAACAATTTGTGTAATTTTGTAACGTGTTTCAATGAACTAATGTTACGGGATGTTTCCAAACAAGGTTACTGAATAAATAAATAATTTGCTTCAAAAATAGCGATTTTGTCTCTTTTTGCATATTAATGAGCCAATCAGACAACCTATGATGTATTCTTACGCAAAAGTGTCAATGGGGGCGAAACAATGTTGTACACAATACAAATATTTTTACGTTAAAAGTTTATGGTAGAAAGAAGTTCTACAACTCGTGGCAGTTGATTATCATCGTTATCTAACTCGAGTTAGTTAATTTTCAAATTTTGAAAAGACACTCGAAGCCTCGTGTCTTTTCAAAATTGGAAAATTAACTAACTCGAGTTAGATAACGATGATAATCAACTGCCACTCGTTGTAGAACCTCTATTTACATAGCTACCCTGTTATCAGTGTAATACCACCCATAACATAGCTACCCTGTTATCAGTGTAAATATCACCCATAACATAGCTACACTGTTATCAGTGTAATATCACCAATTACATAATTACCCTGTTATCGGTGTAATACCACCCATTAAATAACTATCTTGTTATCAGTGTTATATCACCTATAAAATAGCTTTCCTGTTATCAGTGCAATAACACCCATAACATAACTACCCTGTTATCAGTGTAATACTACCCATAACATAACTACCCCGTTATCAGTGCAATATCACCCATTACATAACTACCCTATTATCAGTGTAATACCAACCATTACATAACTACCTTGTTATCAGTGTAATATCACCCATTACATAACTACCCTATTATCAGTGTAATACCAACCATTACATAACTACCCTGTTATCAGTGTAATATCACCCATTACATAGCTACCCTATTATCAGTGTTATATCACACATTACATAAGTATTTTGTTGCGTATCAGCGTACCTAGCGGGGGTGAAAATGGTTAAAGGACAATATTGTTTCATTTTGACATCATAGCTGCATGATGTCATATATATTATGGCGTCACCAAAATAGATACTGAGTGAGAATACTACCTATGTAGATTTGTTTTCAGTCTGATAAAATAAATGTAAAATAAACAAGTGTCCAATTTATGGGGTAAACAGAATCTTACATCTATTTCTTTACCATATAAGATTAATGAAACTCCTCACGGTTTCTTCATTTGACCTCGCCAGAGGCTCACTAACTTAAAATATACCGTGTTTCAGAAATAGCATTGATTTGAAAATCCACGCATATTTCATAAACGAGATCTTTTTATTTATAAGCGTCTATAAATCAATACTTAGTTTCTCCATTGAAAGCGCGGGAATTTATCTCCCCGGGTTGGAGATCTAGACTGATGACGTGACGTGACAGTTGGCGCCAATCCTCTTCTTACCTTTCAGCAATCTCAAAAGCCATTTCAATATTCTAGAAAAACGTATTTGTGTCAAAAAAATCATGATTTTTCCATGTTCTTATTTGTATCAGTGCTTGTTCGTCTTTAAAATGAATACATTAGTAAACGGGCTATAAATCTTACAGATTAGATCGCGGAAGAAAAACAATTAGAATAAAATCTACTTTCGTTTTTTAAATACCGATGTGTTCTCGATATATATCTACTGCCACTGTGACGTCAGCCGGGGAAGCAGCCATATTTGTGCCCGCCGTCAATCTTTGACACTGACTTCGAGGTCAACGATTAGTGTCCGAGAGGTGTAGTACAATGGTTAAGGAACGACAACTCGGATAAAGATTGACCTTTTAACTAATGAATATACCACACACGTTTTCACTGTATTTACTTCTTATTTCAGGGGGTTGGAGCGTCTATTGAGTGCGTCTGCTTAATATTCACTCGATAGTCATATATTATTAGAAACATCTGTTTGATTACTTCTACATGTGGCCTATATCACTGTTGGAGATAAAGTTATTTAAGGAAGTATACAAGATGTACGCTGATGTCTCGGTCTCCGGGAGGAACTTAATTTCTGTCCTCTTTACTGTTCCAGTAATCTACCACTTGTCGCCTTAATTTTATTTTCTGACTATGAATAAGTATCACTCGGATTTAATATATGAATTTGTTCTAAAACATGAAAGCAGTTCACACATTAGTTTCAATATTGTTGAGAAAAGTCTTTTTCTAAACAAACCGAGTGCGTGCGAAAGAAAAAAGGTAAAATGCATTACAGTCTAGTTGTTTCAATAGTTTTTTTTTTTTTTTCTTTTTTCTTTTTTTCTCAAACTTGCAAGAGGATGATATCTCATGGCATCATTACAGATCACAAAATAGATGTTTACACTTACCATTCCTTCGCCGCAATAGTTCCCTGCTATGCCTGAACCTTCTTTGTACATCTGTCCAAAGGTTGTGCCCCTATTCATGTCCACACAGGAGAACAGCCCACAGTTCTGTTGTAACAACATATCAGTAGATGTCCATTAATGTTTGCTTAGAAAGAGTCTAACTCTGTTTAACCTATGTTTGTTTTGCAATTCATTCCATCGCACATATTTTCGAAAATCTAAATTTAGAAACATGATTTACTAGAAAGGATAAAATCTGAACATGATTACAGGTTTGGTACCATTCAGATGATTTTGTTTTTTAATAAGATGTATATTCTATGAAATCCATCACGGTTCATACTTAAAAAATCAAATAGATGTATTGCATATTGGTAAAAAAAAATCTGAACACGAATGAGAAACTTTTCAAATGAATGGATTCATAGATTTGCATAATCAATATAAAAACAATGTTGATTTTAACTACTAACTACGTAGCTTTTCAACTATCCGTTTGGCTTGGTGTCGCTTCAAAAATACAACAGGTCAGGGGTATAAATCCTGTCATTTTGATTTGCTGATATTTATATTTACTTCGGGGTTAACAATTAACAAAGTCCTATACGAAAGTCTCGCAAAAATCCGTGTTTCAGTATTGACAATTAGTAAAACGTTGTCAAATCAGCCTAGTTAATTTGTTACGCCAAAGCTGGTCGAGATTGTGACTAATATGGTGACCCTGTCCTCTCTGAATTTTATTGAGCGCAGCCTGGCAGAGAAAATCTTTACTAAGGCAGGTAATCCAGTCTATACATACATCAAAGTTTGGATATTCTCGGAACCGAAAGCCGCTGCCATAGAGAATTTCACACACTTCGTCCTGCAGGAGAGTCTGGCCTTAAAAGTAAATGGGAATACATGGAACCGACATTGTTTTGTTTATTACAGTGTGACATTTAGTGTTAACACATAATTTTTACCGATTTTGTCATTCTCTTTCTAAAAAAAAAAAGAAAAAAATCAGCATTAAGGATAAATATCACTTAAATGATGCTTGAATAACTTACCTATCAATTCTCCTGTTAGGGAAATGCTCTGAATTTCAGCCGAAACGTTTGCCAAGGGGATGTTGGTCTCCCAAAGACACTGACCATTGCCGCTCCTAAATTCATAAAAAAAACTTATAATAACATCACATCGTTTCATAATTTTGTTTCGTTTAAGACTAAAAGTGGTTTTAAAGTGTGAAATAACTTCATACATTAAAAACTACTAATATAGTTGGTTGCTAAACTTCCAGTTTTCCAAAAGTCATGCAACTCATTAAACAAATCAAAACCACCATTTTATTTATAGCTGCTGTTTTCTTATTCATTTCCGAGACATTTTTTTTTTATTTTTCTCTTGTACAATTTTTAAAAAACTGTGGGCAGACTATTGCATTATCTATAAAGATAATGCAAGTTAATCACGTACTCAAGAAATGTCTGCATGTCGTCTCTGCTACAGGTACTCCATCCTATTCCATGTCCTCCCATCACTCCTACATTAGGACTTACACAGCCTTTGGCATCATCGTGGTACATCCCTATACTGTTAAACAAACGTCAGAGTGTTTGATCCTGTGTCACTTATACTACCATGTATACTGTATAGCTGATAATTTTCAGGGGTCAACATTTTTCGCGATTTCCAAATAAAACGATCAAATTATATTTTATCGAATGAAACTTTCACGATGTGGAAGTAAAAGAACATCTAAATCACACACACGTGCCTTATTATTTCACGGATGAAATTTTTGCAGTCACGTTAAAGTACCGTGAAATAGCGAAAATATCATCTTCGCAAAAATATTTGTTCTCTGTCGCTGCTTTTGATATAATTTGTTCGTGTAATGCGCAGTACTTACTTGTGACCTATCTCATGAGCGGTTGCAATATAGGTAAGAAGACTTCGTGATGCAGACACGCCACATTTATGGTTGTTACTACATATCTTGTTTTGGTAAGCCAGTCCGCCAAGGTTAGCTCCAGATACCCTTCAGGGGATAGTTAACAGCTTATAAATCACTGACATTGTCTAACTCATTTACATGTATCAGTATTGAGATAGTTTCATAGCATGTTTCAAAATCTATTTCTTAAAATTGTTGAATTATGTTGCAGTTTGGCGGAATGTGACTTCGAACAACGACATATTTCTCCATTTTGTTAACATGTTCTTTATTTTCTTATATAAAGAGTTATTGTTGCAAGTTACATTATGTTATCACTTAGATTGTTTAGAGGAAAGTAGAGTTATAAAACATCTATTGTGAAAACTACTTCTCATAAACGGTATCAACAAATTCAGATAATAATATGTTTCCAAGCAACGCTGACGAAGGGGAAGATAACCCACCCAGTGTGCAAAAAGACGATGTCATAGGGATCGTGTTCACTGGTGGCGGCCCCTTGACATATCTGTTGAAGGTTTGCACCAAGTGTCGTGGATACATTGTACCAAATCTGTTACGGAACACGTGTACATCGGAAAGTCAGCCGAATAGAAAATAATCAACAGGAATGTAGCATTTATGAGGATAAAATTTCAACGAACAAAAGAAAGCATAAGTATATCATGAATAACAATAATGAGGTGTTATGGACACACTGATTTCTTAGGATCAGGTCGTACACTTTTGTGAAGACTATGGTATAATAACAATAATGTGGTGTTATGGACACACTCAATTCTTAGGATCAAGTCGTACACTTTTGTGAAGACAATGATGTAATAACAATTATGTGGTGTTATGGACACACTAACTTCTTAGGATCAAGTCGTACACTTTTGTGAAGACAATGATATAATAACAATTATGTGGTGTTATGGACACACTAAATTCTTAGGATCAAGTCGTACACTTTTGTGAAGACAATGGTATGATAACAATTATGTGGTGTTATGGACACACTAACTTCTTAGGATCAGGTCGTGCACTTTTGTGAAGACAATGGTATAATGTATTACTTAAGACCAATATAAACGTTTCGCCATGCTAAAGTCTGTAACATATTTCATGCCTCTTTGATATTATATTCACAGTCAATAAAAGAATAACACTATTTAAGGGGAGCCTCTGGATCTCTAGGCGATAAGAAATAGTCTTACCGGGTCTACTTCAAACATGTTGATATATTTTATATCGATTGTTACAGTATATCCTAGGTCAGCAACTCTTCCCCACTCAGCTTGTACCTGTAACAATCAAAGGTTATAGTGTAAACTAGATCGGTAACTCAATCTTCTCAACTATCAAAGGTTATAGTGTAAACTAGATCAGTAACTCAATCTTCTCAACTATCAAAGGTTATAGTGTAAACTAGATCAGTAACTCAATCTTCTCAACTATCAAAGGTTATAGTGTAAACTAGATCAGTAACTCAATCTTCTCAACTATCAAAGGTTATAGTGTAAACTAGATCAGTAACTCAATCTTCTCAACTATCAAAGGTTATAGTGTAAACTAGATCAGTAACTCAATCTTCTCAACTATCAAAGGTTATAGTGTAAACTAGATCAGTAACTCAATCTTCTCAACTTTATTCTACATCACGAAAATCATTCCCTAAGCATTAATGTTCTTTCACACCAACAGAATATCAATATATAACCCTGTTTTTTAAATCAATAATGACCGACCAGATCTGTTGAAATCGGTAACCCTGTTTTATAAACCAATAATGACCTACCAAATATTTTCTATCTGTAACCCTGTTTTATGACCCATTTTTGTACGTGTCTGTTACTGTATTTTAAACCAATAATAGCTGGCGAATTATGTGCTACAAGTCACCATGTGTTATGTAAGCAGTTATAACAAATGATATTTTTTAAAAAAATAGAATTTAAATATGTCAGGCACAAACCCCGTTATATTTGGTTGCAATGGCGTTGATCCTGCGTGAAACGTCAGAGTAGGTGAAGAGGGACGTAAAGTCGGCGTCTGTATATACTGCCAGCTCCATCGTGAATGACGTAGACGGAATGACGTAAGTATTACGTTTGGTTCGATATGATGATTCCTCTTTGATTTCGATTGAATCTACGTAAAAATATATATACGTTGAATTATTACAATTAGAAATATTGCTTTAGAATCAGTGTATCCAAATGGAACAGTTTCAAGATATGAATAAATACCTTTTTGAAGATTTAGCGAATAACTTGGAATGTTTCCGATGTGCCTCCTTGAAACTAGCACTGAATGAGTTATCCCGCTGGATGTATCTCGCTTGTGCAGGTGTCTTGGCAAAGTCATTATGTGATATTCATGATCCATGGCCCACATACTGCCTTCCTGAGATTACACATTTTATTATAAAGCTCCCTATATGATATGCTCTCGGGGAATAGCAGTTATATTTCATCAAATTGGAAGGAAACTTCGTTATATTTCACATATGCGCATATCTTAACTTATGTTCATTCAATGAAAATATCATTTATTTTTTCCTTGTAAAACTGTACATTTTATTGCACAATATGTAATCTACAGAAACAACGATAAACATGTTCACTTGTACCGAATGTTGGTTTGACTTAATAATCGTTTAAAAAATGAATATGTCCCGACAGGAACCCATCGGGTCATCAACGAGAAAATCAAGGACTCTGTCAACCTAGCAAACAGGTATGCTCCTTCTACTAAGTAACAGACCCAAGAGCTATTTTCATGATGTCACACTGGCCAATTCTTTTTATATCATGGACGCTTATTTTGATTGAAACTATTTCAGTTGTTTCAGCCTGTTACATAAAAATGAGATAAATATTGTAAGTTAATACTCGGTAGTATTTACTTATTTCATTTTACATACTTTGATTCTACGATTATTATCTAACTCAGAAACTATGTCTTGTCTAGAAGAAAAACAAACCATGTCATGACAGTAGGATAAGGATACAGTCCCGGTGGTGTGTGACGTCACATTTCCGGTGAGGAAACAATCAGGGTGTGGACCAAACCATTCGTTTTCTTTCTCTCCGTTAGTTAGGATGACTTTGGCGTTGGGATGTATAACAGATTTCTGATGTTGAACATCGATGGTGAATGTTTCATTAAAAGCTTTAAACTCCACCGACAATTTCTGTTTTGACTTTTCCAAGGAGCGTTTCCGACGGTGTACTGAAGCACTCACAAACCTATAGTTTCAAATATTATATACTTATAATCTTATAATACAATGATAATTTTACAGTAAGTATAATGGTCAATTGAAAGAAGACATTTATTAAGGTTTAGATGAAAAATTAGTCTCAAGATCAGTTATCAGTTTTGTAGTATAAACTTAAAAAAAGTCATTTCATGTGTAATTCAGGAACCGCACAAAACTTATCTAGTGTACCAAATTTATCAATTTTGCACTATTGAAATATGTCTTTTTTCTTACGGTATTTCACCATCTCCAAAGCCCTTCTCTATTAGTTGAGTGACTGCAAATTCTTCAAATCCAGCTGAATGGATATAAGGCAAACAAACATAAAATTAATTGCTTTGTTGAATTTAGAATTTAGGTAGTTGTAATGATGATTTGCGTAAAGAAATTCATCAAGAGATTTTAGAAAGACAAAAATGATATTCACGGATGAAGTGTGTAAAACACCAACTTACAATCTTTGGGTTGTGTGTTCTTGTGGAACTGCCTGATGTCATCATCCAAGATTTCCTGAACCTAATTGAGACCATAGAATACAAAAATTAATATTAATATTTAATGCTACGTGATATTCGTCACTATTACATGTAGTTTGAAGGAGCGCAGGTGTACACTGTATAGCTTTGCCTTTTCTTTTCAATCATATAAATCATGTGTTCATGAGAACCAAGTTACTTAAAGCTTTGTTAGACTGCAAATTTTCAAGTATGAATTATAACAAGATTGAGATTAATCTTTATTATTTCACAGTTATAGATTTGTTGAGACAGGTCACATTGGTATATTTAAATCGTACTTTAAAAGTCCTAGTTTTTTTAGTTTTGGCAATTTATTTTTTCACAAACCATTAATAAGTAATGGATGTAATATAACATTAACCTTTCCACGAGGCATTTTCGTGAGTTTGATTGACGGTGTATTAATGAGCTATACAACTAATTTAAATGTCCATATGTTAATGTTTCTATATTATCACTGTTCACCTCACTGTCTAAGGACAGCTGTGACTTCATGGGTGGCTAGATATGGTGATAAATCATTGCATATTTCTTCCTGAAAACGTGTGTCATCAGGGGACCTATAAGGGAGATATATGTAATGCGTGATGAGTTCATATTTTATCTATTAACACACTTTAATGACTGCAAAAAGTATGAAATAAAACTAATAAATACATGTTGTTATCTCTGGATATCTGTACAACAATAGTTTACGGATTATATTGCCTTAGCTTTTACCTACTCTCATTTCCATTCATTTCAAAAGGAATTCAATTATCTTAATCAGCAATCTGATCGTATCAGAAATGCCATGACAACCTTGATACAATGTAGCACAAACATAGAAGTCTAGTGCAATACATATTAAGCGATTCTGTTTCTACGGCATGTGGACACAGGGTGATTAGACATATGAAAATGAGAACGTATGTTTACATATGTGTCGTCTATTATATTATCAATGTTGGTTTGTCACTAATGCATAGACCCCTGTAGGAGACAGAGTGGGAAAAATAACCCATGCTGTAACTCATTGCATGTTATATCAGGCGACTGATTGTTAAGTATCCTTTACTAATTCGGGGTGCTTTCCCCGAAGCCTTCCGTTCAGGGAACACTAGAAACAAACAAAACATATCAACATGTCAACCCAAACTCAAATTCAATAAAACTAGGTTAAATATGAACAAAAGGATTATTTACACGGAGACTCATGACAAAGTACAATGAGAAGAAAGCCAGGTGTTCAGGAAAAGTAAGCGTCTTCCGCTTCGTCGACAACACCTATCCTATGTTCGCTCGGTTCTAATGCAGTTCGTAAGAAGTGACTAAGCGTGTGCAGTATTAGAGGCCTTCTTCCCTTTTCTACTCACGGAACAAAGACTAGATCAATATAGATCTGCTGACCCCAGTGGAACGATTCAGATCTTGATTTTGTTCCTTTTTCTCTATTTTTGTCATTCTTCCATTGCTTCATTTTATAACCAACTGTCTTGATCGGAACTCGGCTTTTTCGAGAGCGAGAAACTTCGTAAGAACAAATAAACAACAACCCAAAACAAAAAAGCATAGCAAAATAAAAATACTACATGTCGGTGTGTATTACTCGCTTTACTCGCACTTCCGAGTAAAGAAAATACAATCTGCTAACATATTTTTTACGAAAATAACGGTATGTAAGACAATAAATTAAAAAAAACAGTTTCACAAAGTTTTAAAATTGGTAGAGATATACAGTTAATATTACGAACAATATTTCGATTCATGACGGAAGGATAACACTTGAAACGATTCAAAATAAAAACTATATATTTGTGTGTTTGATTATTTACTATTGCGTAATACTAAATAACAGGAGAAATCCTATAGGCTACCTGTATGTTCCTTATCACGTCCGAATCACATGAAAAGGGCAATATGTTCACAAGCTTACTAAAACATGATTTGTTGAAATGGAAACATGACGTGAAAACCACTTGAATTTGCACCTAAATCCCTGACATGGGAGGACGAACCAAAATGTCATATATCTAATTTGCACAGATTTTCTCATCAACGGTATGAAATTAAAATTATCTGTCGAAAGTATCAATACAGAACACGTTGCATTCTTTGTAAAAGATACGAATACCGCAGCGTGATAGTAATTACGATTCTGGATAGATCCTTCTTTTAGGTCATATATTCAAAATTATTCAAGACCCCACTTAATTGAGATTCTCCCTTAAATATATATTGTACCTTGGTATCGTTGATACTTTAATCTTAAGAACACGCCCCTATATTTTCTATTCGTCCAATTTGTTGTCTTTTCATCACTTTGAATTTACATTTTTAATAACAGCCATCCCTACCAAGACGACTCAATTAAAGGTCATTGTGTGAAAGCCATCTGCTTCAATATCATACTGTCAGTCAATTATGTCACGGTAGAATGGGTTATGATTATTCAAACATGGTTGAATGATTTTCCCGTTTTAACAAGTATGCGTGAAGGATTTACAAATATTACATAATTATGTAGCAAAATAAGGTAACATTTAATTTTGAGTTTTGGGAATTATTGAATAGTGTGGGAATGTGTTTTATAAGATGCTTTAGATAGATTTTATTACTGATGTTCTGTTAATTATAATATTCTCTTTCAAAATTCATCTGGTAAAATACTCCTATTTTGCAAGTCGACAAAGCATTGCATGTCCTTTCCGCTGCATATTGGTATTAATTCATACACCACAGTATTAACACCCAAGGCAGTGGATATAGGGTTATACTCAAGGCTGGCCTCTAACACAATGTCAACATAAATAGAATGCGTGTACTGGTAAATCATATATTTTCGAGAGCTAAAATTTCGTGGGTTTTCCTCGACAAAGCTGAAGTTTAAAGACGCGTGATACTTTGGATATACACAATAAAACTCCAGTTCTCTAACACGTATTTTGTCGATTTCACGATGAAATCCCAGTTCTTGGTCACATGACGTCGTGGCTTTTCGCAAAAAAATCGCGGTCACTTGATTCCATGAATCAGAAATACCAACTCTAATAGTTCATGAATCCGTTGAAGTGGTTTGAATTTACCTAATTCAATGAAACATTTTCCCCTTAAATGACAGAAGATGCAATACCAGCGCATTAGGAAAACGGGAAATATGTCACCAGAGAAATTAAAATTCGCATCCTTAGGTCAACAAGCAAACATCACCAAAGCATCAGTCTTTCCGAAATAAAGAAGTCTGAACTGATACGGAATAAAGAGTCTGAACTGATACGGTATAAAGAAGTCTGAACTGATACGGAATAAAGAAGTCTGAACTGATACGGAATAATGAAGTCTGAACTGATACGGAATAATGAAGTCTGAACTGATACGGAATAAAGAAGTCTGAACTGATACGGAATAAAGAAGTCTGAACTGATACGAAATAAAGAAGTCTGAACTGATACGGAATAAAGAAGTCTGAACTGATACGGAATAAAGAAGTCTGAACTGATACGGAATAATGAAGTCTGAACTGATACGGAATAAAGAAGTCTGAACTGATACGGAATAAAGAAGTCTGAACTGATACGGAATAAAGAAGTCTGAACTGATACGGAATAAAGAAGTCTGAACTGATACGGAATAAAGAAGTCTGAACTGATACGAAATAAAGAAGTCTGAACTGATACGGAATAAAGAAGTCTGAACTGATACGGAATAAAGAAGTCTGAACTGATACGGAAAATGAAGAAGTCTGAACTGAACTGATACGGAAGTCTGAAATACGGAAAAGAAGTCTGAACTGATACGGAATAAAGAAGTCTGAACTGATACGGAACTGATACGGAATAAAGAAGTCTGAACTGATACGGAATAAAGAAGTCTGAACTGATACGGAATAAAGAAGTCTGAACTGATACGGAATAAAGAAGTCTGAACTGATACGGAATAAAGAAGTCTGAACTGATACGGAATAAAGTAGTCTGAACTGATACGGAATAAAGAGTCTGAACTGATACGAAATAACGAAGTCTGAACTGATACGGAATAATGAAGTTTGAACTGATACGGAATAAAGAAGGCTGAACTGATACGGAATAAAGAAGTCTGAACTGATACGGAATAAAGAAGTCTGAACTGATACGATGAACTGATACGGAATAAAGAAGTCTGATACGGAATGAACTGAATACGGAATAAAGAAGTCTGAACTGATACGGAATAAAGAAGTCTGAACTGATACGGAATAAAGAAGTCTGAACTGATACGGAATAAAGAAGTCTGAACTGATACGGAATAAAGAAGTCTTAACTGATACGGGAATAAAGAATAAAGAAGTCTGAACTGATACGGAATAATGAAGTCTGAACTGATACGGAATAAAGAAGTCTGAACTGATACGGAATAAAGAAGTCTGAACTGATACGGAATAAAGAAGTCTGAACTGATACGGAATAAAGAAGTCTGAACTGATACGGAATAAAGTAGTCTGAACTGATGAATACTGAACTGAACGGAATAAAGAAGTCTGAACTGATACGGAATAAAGAAGTCTGAACTGATACGGAATAAAGACGTCTGAACTGATACGGAATAAAGAAGTCTGAACTGATACGGAATAAAGAAGTCTGAACTGATACGGAATAAAGAAGTCTGAACTGATACGGAATAAAGAAGTCTGAACTGATACGGAATAAAGAAGTCTTAACTGATACGGAATAAAGAAGTCTGAACTGATACGGAATAAAGACGTCTGAACTGATACGGAATAAAGAAGTCTGAACTGATACGGAATAAAGAAGTCTGAACTGATACGGAATAAAGAAGTCTGAACTGATACGGAATAAAGAAGTCTGAACTGATACGGAATAAAGAAGTCTGAACTGATACGGAATAAAGAAGTCTGAACTGATACGGAATAAAGAAGTCTGAACTGATACGGAATAAAGAAGTCTGAACTGATACGGAAAAAAGACGTCTTAACTGATACGGAATAAAGAAGTCTTAACTGATACGGAATAAAGAAGTCTG